CTAGCTCAGCCTAGCCCCTGGTTTCCCCCAGCGCCACACTGATAACCACCTCCACCCTGATGCCGCCACCCAATCCTGTCCAAACTCCGGCATCCACCCCCTACAAACGCACTGACCTGTCCTCCCAGTCACACCCTCCACAGAGGGTCTGGTCCCCAGCGCACGGTCCTATTTCCTCTGCCCCAACAGAGGGTCCCTTCTCCAGAAGGCTCTCCTGAAAGGTCTCCTGCCAACTTGTGCCTGGGGTGTAGGGATAGGATAGAAGCCCCAACTTCTCCTGGCTCTTCCTTCTGTCTCCCAAGAGCTCTGTTCCTTACCTGGGGAAGAAGCGGCTTCAGTGCCTCTGCACCTGCTCTGTCCCCGACTTTGGGAGGGGAGGTTCTCAGGGCAGGGCAGGGTGGGCTCCCCGTAGCAGCCCTGGGCTCCCTGGATGTCCCCCTGCTTGTTCCCTGCAGCAGGGGCTCACTGAGCCACGACCCGACCGACCGTCGATCTCAGCAGCGACAGTGAGAAGGAGGGAGGCTGCAGTGAGCAGGGGGAGGAGAAGGGGGAGGACCAGTGTGAGGTCAGGGAGGGGAGCGGAGATAGGGCAGGTCCTCCCACCCCTCCCGCCCCTGCCAGGCCCTCCAACTTCATCACTGCCACCCCTCCCCTCCTCCCCGCTGTCACCCCAACCCCCTCCCTGTCTGGGATTCCCACAATGCCCTCATCCCGCCGCTACAGCCCTGGTCCTACCTCCTGCGTCCTTCCCCATCCCATCTTAACTCTTCCTCTCTGCCCTAGTTGCCCAACTTGACACCCGCTCCCTCGTGCCAGCCTTCCTTTCCCCACCATTTTACCACCTGTTGCTCCTCCTCTCTACCAACACCCTGCCCCATGACCCTCCTCCCTCCCCTGCACCTCCCCTCCCACCTCTTCCTAGCTGCCACAAGGCTCCAGCTTGGATCTCGCCCCATCCATTCGTTGCCCAGCACCCACTACTTCCCCCCACCAGTTCTCTCCTGGCAGTGCAGGGCAGGAAGCAGAGGTGGGGGGCGGGAGGAAACCTTCCTCTCAAACCTAAACCCCACTCCAGCGTGGGGCCTTCACTGGGACTCCTTGTCCCCACCCCTGCTCCTGTGCGGTCCCACTGCTCCCACCTGCACCCTGTCTCTTCCTCTCCTATTGTCTCTGCTTGCCCTGTCCCTGCACTGCCTCTCCCAATCTATTCTGCTCAGTCCACCTCCTGCTCTCAGCTCAGGATCACTGCCCCTTTTTCATTCTCCCACCTCAGCAAATTCCTAGAGAAATGGTAGATGAAGCTTGGGCAGTGGCTGGGCAAGGGCTCCGCTGAATAACAGGACATACAAGACTTGGGAAGGAAGTTGGGGTTCAGGGGAGACAAGGAAGGGAAGCCTGAAAGTTACGAGGGAGGTTTTAGGGATGGAGAAAGAGCTAGAGGCATGAGGCAGACATGGGGGTGGGGACACGAAAGGTGGGGTGAAGTTGTGGAAAATGGAAGGAGGCTAATGTCTAGGTGCTGCAGGGGAGCAGGAGCAGAAGGGAGAGTTGGAGGCTGGAGGAAAAGGGCACTTTGATCTCGGGCAGAGATAGGGAGACTGACACCAGAGGGCAGGGTGGCAGACACACCCACGTAAGGCTGCTGGCTCTTTCTCTGGCCTCATTTCCCCATGTGCTTGCTACCCTGATGAGGGGCTGAAAAGGAGACTTTTGCCACAGTGAAGTATCCAGGCTGAGGGAGACTCCACTCCAGGTTTCACACTGAGGATAGAGTTCTTGCTACCCCGCTACAAACCTCACCACTGAGGAGTAGCGTGTCCAAGTCACAGGTGATGGGTGAAAAGGATGTGCAGGAGCCCTGGACAGGTATGTGCAGGACACGTATGTGCCAGATATGTATGTGCCTGAGTCTGCCATTTGGGTTGGGGCACAGATTTGTCGGCACCACAGGTCAGATCCCCTTGGTCTCAGGTGTGAGGTGTTCCTGGGTGAGGGCAGGCTGGCACAGCATGTGGCTATGTCAGATGCCCAGTTATTTCCCTGTGGCTGAGGGCAAAGGCTTGCCATGGGCTCTCGCGTGGGTGTCCCCGTGTGTGTCCGTGCGTCTGGGTGTGTGTGTGGCTGTTTTTTTCCTGGCTTTGATGGGGAGGATGAAGTCAGCATCTTGGATGGAGCTGGGCTCAGCTTCCTTCCTCTGCCTTGGCTGGAAGCCCCCAGAGCCTGGAATAGGTAACAGCTTCCACCAGGTCTCTGGGTGGGGGTTGGGGGAAAGTAGACGAAAAAGTGAAGGAGGGTCTGAAACAGCATTACACGTGGAGAGTAAACTGCACAGCAGATGGATTTTCTCTGATACCCTCAGATTACAGCAATTCTGTCCCATGGTCAAATCCATTTTTTTTGGTCCTATGCCTTATATCTTGGTTTTATTATTTAAGGAAGTATGGGCATCATAAGTACACTTGGCCCACAGTGGCCAGGAGACCCTGGAGAGAAGCAAGAGCTGGCAGGATGGCCCTGGGGTCTTTTGGAAGTCCACTGCTGGGAGACAGATGGGATGCTGGAGTCTCAGAGAAGAGTGTGGGATTCCAGACAGTTACACACTTACAAGGCATTTAAAGAAGCTACTGGAAGCTTGACAGACAGAATTCTAGGTTCTGAGATAATCATTGTCTAAAATTTGATTCACCCCCTGTATTTTAGGCCCTTGGAACTCATGTCTTATTATGTTTGCATCTCATCAGAAAAGCACCAGGCCTTGCATAGAGCAGGTGCCTAATAAATGCTTGTCAATACTGAATTGTCAAAAGACTGGGAAAGGATGGGGAAAGGGTGTCTGGTAGGGAGCCCCAGGCATGAAGGCAGGGAATGGTCAGAGCCAGGGTCACCTTCACCAAGGTGTCCCGGGTGATGAGTAGAAAGGTCAGGGTGTTGTTGAGAACTATCCACATGCTCTGGCTGTTCTCTGAATCCTCAGTCCAGGTGTCTTCAGCTCTGGGCCTCTGTCCTTGAATGAACCTCCAAGCTCCTCCTGTTCTGACCTCGGCAGGATAAGGGATAAAAGATATAGATAGCAAGGAAGGAAAGGGAGAGACAAAGAGAAGGGAAGGAAGGAAGACAAGGGTGAGGGCAATTAAGGGCAAGGAGCTGAAGGATAAAGAGAAGGAACGAGGAGAGGCCAGGGGCTGCGGTCCAAGGAGGCAGTCCCAGAGAGGGGAAGATAGAAAACAGTTGTACTGGGCTTCCGTTTACAAAGCACTTCCCTACACTGCAGGCATTTTATTAATCCCACTTTGTGGCTGAGGAAACGGAGGCTCATAGACGTTAAGTGACTTGTCCAAGGGACTTTGCTAGTGGTGGTGAAGGTGGGCCTCAGTCCAGGTTTTCTCATTCCAAAGCCTGTATTCTCCCCCTCCCCCAAGAAAAGCCCTGGAAACACTGAAGACTTAGGGCAGAAACCAGTGAAGGGGCTTCTGGAAGGACTTGTTTGAGAAGGAAAGGTAGATGATCTGGATTTTTGAAACTTCTTTCTGCATCCAGTTATTACGTAGATTCAGTTGGAAGAAACTGCCAAGTATAAGACAGGGGGTCAACATTCCATTATTGAGAATTGGGGGTGGGAGGTGTTGAGGAAGAAGAACATGGAGAGAAAAGACTGAGCCTGAGATGAAGGATGGGAGAGAACTAAGAAGCTAGGGCTGAAAAGGGGGCAAGAGAGCCACAGAAGGAAGGGTTTGGACCCTTCAAACTTCCTTTGCCTGGAGACATGGGTGTGGGGAGAAGGGAGGAGGGAGGACATTTCTATCTCGTGACAAAAGAAAGTCACACAATTGTTTTGTTCTCTGTTCTGGGGCGGGTGGGCGCCCGTATTTACCAGAGGGACTAAGGTCGCTGTGGCAACCACACATCTGGGCCCCGGAATCCAGATGTGCTGTATCCAGAAGCCATAGCAGAACGATGAGGCAAACATTAGGCTCCCCAGTCCTGGCCCCCATGGCTGGGAAGAGGACGTGAAGGGAGAAGGGGGAGGAAAGAGGAGGAGAGGGCTGAAGCGGGGGAGAAGAGAGGAAGTCATGGAAAGGGACAGAGAATGTGGACAAAGGAGTGCAAAGCGGAAGAGAGAGGGGTGGCCTGGAAAGAGAGGAGGTGAGCACAGGGTCAGCAGCAGGAAGAGAGAAGAAGCCTAAAAAAAGACAGTGAAGTGGAGTGGGGAAGAAGGGAAAAGTGTAAAAGAAGTGAGAAACAGAGATGAATAAAGAGAAAAGGGACAAAAAAAGGTGATGACTGTGGCCAAGAAGGCAGGAAAGCAACCTAGAAAAGAGAGAAGAGGGAGGGACACAGGGTTAGAGAGAAAAAGAGGAACAAAAGATGGGATCCTGAGCAAGGAAAGCAGCAGAGCAGAAAGACAAAGAGGGCCTGGGACAGGAAGGGCCAACCGGAGGTGCAGAAGTGATAGTGGCTGGCATGCTGAGGTGGCCTTGGATGGGGATGTGGCTGAGATCTACACGGCCTGTAGTGCAGCAGCCCAGAGACTGACCTGTCTCCACTCCCTCACCTGCCCCACCCCCATGGCACACCCACTCGCATGCCTCTCCTAATCCTTCCCACCACCCGACTCCCTCAGCCAAAAGTCTGGCTCTCAGTTCACACCAAAGCACCAGCTGTCCCTCGTCACTCAGCCAGAGGTGCTGCATGGCTCACTCCAGAGCCCCCAGTCTGAGGTGTCAGTACTTCAAGCACCTTCTTGAGCTGGGGTCAGGAAAGAGAAAGAGCAATGGGACAATAAAACCGTGATGGAGCCACAAAGGATACAAGCAAAATAGAAGAGGAGAAAAGGACAATGTAAATGGAGAAAGGAGCAAGGGATGAGGGAAAGGTGTGTCTACTATGGACCAGGCATTGTGAACATCATCTTTCATCCTCACATCAACCCTGAGAAGTAGGTAGGAGTATTCCATTTTACAGATGAGCAAACTAAGGCTCTGAGTATTTAAATTACATACCAAGGACATCCACTAATAAAAGGCAAAGCAGGGAATCCAATTCAGGTAATCTGCCTCCACAATCCTTGTTCTTGCATTCACTGCCTGGAAAAGGCTGGATAAGGCTGGAGGGATCTTGAGACAGGAAGTGCTGGCAGAGAAGCCAGGTCTGCCCTCTGGAGGGAGGAGAGGCCTAGTTCCTGGGAGCCCTAGTTCCAGGTTGCCATAGTTACTCGGTCTGTTTTCACCCCAAACACAGTAATGGGGAGGGGGTAGCCTGGCTGGACACGTGAGGTTCTTCCCCCTCCTTCAGGCCTGGGCTTGTGGCCCAGGAGGCCCCTGTCCAGTCATCTGGGCATCGAGCCCAGGCCTAGCCCACACCCTCTAGCTGACCCAGGACACTCCTGCAGGGCTGGGCCTGAGGCACTGCTGGACAGGAGCTGCTGACGGAGATCCCCCCAGGTTGATGGCACTTGGCCCTACACCCTTTGTCCTGCTCCCCCTTCCTCCTAATTAGGAAGCACAGCCTTTTCTGCTGGACCCCTCTGTTCCTCTTCTTTCAACTGGACTCTCAAGTCTCAGGCTCCTCCAGTTTAGGGCTAAAAAGATGCTCCTCAACACAGCCCTTCCTTCCAAACACCGCCCCCTTCTCCACTGCGGCCCCTCCTTCCTGGGCTCACAGCCCTCTGGCCCCAGCTCTGTTGTTTGTTCAAGCTGCTCCTCCTGGAAAGTGAGGGGAGGGAGGGAGAACCTGCTAGAATGCAGGGGATCCAGGGAGGCTGCTCACCCTAAAGGGTGTGGGGCCCCCTGTCCTTCCTGTTTACTCAGACACATTCCAGGGATCTGTATTCTCCGGGCTGTCACGCCATGGGACACCCCTCCCCTATCCCCCTGCTAGACACAGACATAGCCTAGTGTTGCAGGGGCGGGTTAAAGGGGATGACATGAGGTCTGTGATCCCACACCCAACCCACCCCAGAGCCAGCTATGTCTTCAGTGCTTGGTTCTCTGATATACTGGCCCTATAGAAGCCACTTCCCCCAAATTCCCCATCATGAGCCAGGAAGGCAGTCACCATTCCTTCAACTCCCTCCAAGTTGTTTATTTAATAATAAAAAAGAAGATATGCATATACATAAACCTGATGTCCCTCCACCACCCCTCTTTTACTCCCAGCAACTAGCTCCAAAGTGTAAAAACATCCCTTGTCCCGCCTGGGGACTAAATTCCCACCTCCACCCCCCAAACAGAGAAACAAAAGAACAAAGGGGGTGCAGGAGCCCACCCGCCCCAAGACTTAACCTCACTCAACACCCTCAGAGAAAGAAGTAGGGACTGGGGGTTCTGAGAGGAGCCCTGTATTCCAAAAAGAGGTGAGAAGAGGGGTGAATCCATCACCTCCAAATAAGTGCTTAACCCCCACACCTTGTCTTTCTTTACCAAGTGCCCCAAGCCCGGGGATCAGGGAAATTAGAAACAGTCCCACTTGGTCACCCTTCCCCTCTGCCCGCCTAGTTCTAAGTCAGTGTGAGTCACAGAGGTCAGGGATGATTGAGGTAGAGGGGCCGATGGGTGGCCTGGTGGGCCTGGCCAGCTGCAGAAGCTGGCAAGGGGCCACCTGTGGCATTGCCTGGGGTTGAGGACGGCTGTTTTCGGAGCGAGGGGGGCACTGTGGAGGTCTTGATGTGAATCACCCTGGTGTCCATGACCTCACACTCGATCTGCATCATCTCCTCATAGTCCCCTGGGGCCCCCCGGCCTGACAGGGTCTCTGTGAGAAAGGGAGAGTTAAGGAAGAGGGGGGCAAACAGAGAGGAGGGGTTGGAGAAGTGGAGGTGAAGAGGGAGGAAAGGGCAATGGTGAGGAGGTGGATCCACAGTGGGGGTTAATCGAGAGGTCGGGATGGAGTTGGTGCAGGGAGAAGGACAGGGGTAGGAAAAGAACATGACATTGATGAGTGTGAGGTCACAGAGGAGAGGACATCAAGAGAAAAAAAGGAGGTGAGAGTCTGGCAAGTTCCCAGCCCACCGCCCTCTGCCCAGCACCTACCCAAACACCTTCACCGAAGGAGGACCCGCACCCTCATCTTCCTCTCATCAGTCTCCTGCATTTAGTTCTCCTCTCCACCCATTTCCTGCTTCTTCTCACCCATGCATCTAGCATCTCTCAGGAATGCCCCACTCCTCTCCCTGGTTCCCTCCTCAGCTCCTCCTGCTGGGTCTCCCTATCAGAACTTCCCCCTTGCTCAATTTCTGGATTCTTCCCCATGCCCGGCAGGGAAAGAATTACCGTTGGGCGCCATGGCAGGCATCACCAGGGACATCTTGGGCCGAGAGGTCTTGTTGTGGCTGATGGCTGGGAGCAGCAAGTGGTCCTGGGAAACAGAGGGGCCAGTCCAGGAGGATGGAGAAAAAGATGCTGGCAGGCTCTCTGGTCCTACTCTACAGCCTCAATTTCAAGACAGACTGCTGGGGAACCCAGGGTGACGGGGACAGGGCAGGGAGGAAGAACTCACCCTTCGGAAGGAGACAACATAAAATGTGTCTTCCCGTCGGTCAATTGCATCCAGGAACTCTGGCTGTGAACGGTCTGGGTGGCGATACAGCTGCAGCTGGCCCACAGAATCCCTAGACAGGTGGGGAAACGGGATTGGAAGGAACTAAGCCCAGCCCATTTCCCACTAGGGAAGCAGGGAGAGGATGAAAGAAAAAGAGACAGGAGACCCCAGGGGATGAGGGACGCATAATGCCATTGGTGGCACTGATGACAAGCACAGGACAGCTCCAGGGGTACAGCTCTCTAGAGTAGAAACTCACCTAATAAGTAAGCAGCCCCCCAGACTCACCTTTCTGGGGGCCCGGGGGGTTGGGTGGGGACTGCCTTAACTGGAGGCGACTTCTTCCGTAGCTGAGACTTCTGGAAGGAGAAGTATCTAAGGATTTGAAGAGGGTGAAGGGAAAAGGGAAAGAGACAGACAGCCCCTGGAAGCTGATGCCACCTCACACCCACCCTTCCACTTCCCAAACAACCCCTCAAACCTCCACAAGATGCTCACTAAAAGTCCCCAGGACATTTAGCCCTTGTCTTCAAGTGGCCTGCCTTGAACTAGCCCCACCCTCTCCTACCTGTTTCTCCTGGGCCCTCTGGGGGATCTTCCGCCGGCCTCTCTGGTGGCGCTGGACCCAGCCGCTCAGCTCGTCAGCAAGCCTGGGGAAGCAGAGGAGCGGTGACACCTCCGTGCCAGGCCAAGGCCCCCACTTTCCTTGCCCGCACACAGGAGGGAGAAGAGAGGGCAAGGAGAATTGGTGCTTCAGCACACAAGGACAGCCAGGCCGGCCGTGGAGGGCCTCAGAATGACAGGGAAGATGCCTCAGCCGTGAATCCCTCACACCTCAGGGACTCGGTTCGGTTGAAGTGCCGGCAATCAGAGGAGAGGAAGAGCTGGTCCAGGTCTCTCAGCAGCAGCTCCTTGGCACCCCCAGGGAAGGCTGTCAGGTTCCTGGGTGAGGCAGGGAGAGGCCATGATCCAAGGCTGCCCAGCACGCCCCATCAACAGAGACGGCAATGATGGCGAGAGAACAATCTGGCTCCCCTCAAAAAGAAAAGGTAACTTTGGGGAAGAAGACGCACTCAGCACGCCCAAAAGAGAGAGGCCCTCTCCTTACCTGAAGCTTGGCCTGCTTGCGGGGCTGGGCTGGGGCTCCTCATGGCTCTGAGTGGAGCCCTGGAGGGCCTCAACTCCATGAACCGGCTCTTGTGCTGAGAACTCCAGCAAGTGTCTCCGAGGTCGAGGCTCCTCTCCGTTCATCTGAGGAGACACGGGAGCCGAAGGAGGCTCACTGATGCTGCGGATAAGGAAGGACGGAGCATGAGGAAGAATTCCAGCTTTGTCTAGGGGCTAGCTAAGAGCAAGGGCTCTGCAGACGGCCTGCCCGGGTTCCAATCTGTTCTACAAGCCTGACTCTTCATCTGTAACATGGGAATGAGAACAGTGCCTACCTCATAGGGCCAGGAACCATGAGAAAAGGAGAGTGCTTAACCTAGAGCCTAGAACTCAGTAAGCACTCAATAGTCAGTTACTATCTTATCAGTATTCTCACCACCATCTACCCCAGGACATACCAGTTAGGAGAGAAAGGATGGAACAAGAAGGGACTAGCTGGATACTCCATCGGTACTAAAGACACCAGGGCTGTCTGTGTGTAAGGGGAATGAAAGGGACTGTGCCAAAGCTGGCAATCAGGAGGATTCTGAGGGTAGGCTCCACCCAGAAGCTTCCAGGAAGGCAAGGAGGGTCTCACCTGACAGGCCCGAAGTTGAAGGCAATGAAGAGAAGGAAGACCATGATGCAGACCACCTTCCTGTTTCCAGACCCTAACTTGAGCTCGCTGTTCTACGATACAGAGGAAGAGACAAGAGAGAGGGTGAGTCATCCCAAGGAGCCTACATTCCTGCTGGTCTCCCAAGGACAGACCAGGCTTACCTCAGCCAGCAGGCCCTCCAGCCGCCGCCGGAGGGCAGCATTCTCCCGGCGGAGCTGTTGGTTGTCGGCCAGCACAGCCTGCAGTCGAGCCTCCAGCCCCTGCAGATACTCTTTCTTCTTCCTCCTGGACTGGCAGGCTGATTCCCGGTTCTTGATCATTCGCTGCTGCCGCTTCAGCAGCTTTGCCTAGGCACCCAGAGGGTCAAAAAGAGAAAGAAAGATGGGAAGGAGAGGGAAACCATGTCCCCCAACTCCAAGGACTGATTATCCAAAGCTAACATTGGCCATTCTCCTGCCTTCGTGACCTCTACCTACACAGCCAGAGAAGGGTTGTTCCTCTCTACTAAAACATTTCAGGGAAAGGGCCCTTCTCTCAACCACTCCCCGTCCCTGTTCCTCAGAGCTGAGAGAAGTGAGACTGTAGGAGGAACCATTTCTCCATCTTGGTTCCTTTCCTTGGTGGGTGGTCTTCCTTCTTCTCAATTCTCGTTTTTGGGCCCAAAGTTTAACCTTGCTATAATTAAAGAGCAGTTTTCCTCTAGGAAGCAGCCTCCCTCTTCCAGCTACTACCAAAACTGTAACACAGTATGACTCCCCTGCCTTTGATTTACTGAGACCACCCCCATTTCTCCAATTATCTCAATGACAGCAATCCTAAAGATCATAAAACTACATGGAGTTTACATTCATATATAAACAGGGGTCCACTCTGACCTTCAGGATCATCTTATGTGTCTGCTTCCTCATTTTTTGCTCCCTCTTCATTCCACAGTTCTTTCCCAAGACAGATTCTCCTCTTCCCTTCCCATTACTAGCCCCACTCTTCCCCTCTCCAATACTTACATCCACTTCAGGTGGACAGGAGTTCCCAGGCATAGGAGCTGGAACAATGCTCTTCCTCTCAGGCCTTGGTGCAGGGGGGGCTGGCCCCTCAGGCTGGACTCGAATAGCACCTTGGATGAGGACAACTGGGGACACTGGGGCAAGTGAGCAGAAGAGGAGGTCAGAGAGCTGGAAGTCAGGTGGGGTCCTTGTGTCCATACCCACACCAGATCACCCAAGGGTTGGGAGCCTCAGTGGCTGTGAGCTCCCTGAGAAGGTCAATCCAGTCCATCTCCTTCTATCCTTCTTTAGTACCTGGGGGTGGCTGGACAAGGGGCTGCAAAAGGACAGTGGTGCTGGCAGGCACAGCTCTGGGTGGCATTGGGACAGTGGTTATCACCACGGGTTTGGGCTGCAGTGGTGGCTTCCGCGTGGGCAGGGCTTTGCCTGAAGGAAGGAAGGAATGTCAGGACTACTGGCCTCTTGCCAGGGACCCCAGGTGTCGGGAGGCCCTGTTACCTGAGGAGCCATCGGGGGACGGGCCCATGCTGATCTGGACAGCTCCAAGTGGGGGGCCTGGGACATCCCGCAGGAGATACCCTTGAGGGGACAGAGACTCTGTCTTCACTTCCAGTACCTCCTCTCCTATGAAAGCCTATAGGCGTTCCAGAAGATATGTGAGTTAGGAAGAGTGTGGAGGAGAAGGAAGAGAAAGCTCTCCTACCTCTGAGAGTCAGCAGGAACTCCCTGGAGTGGCTGCAGGGAGGATGGGAAGCTTATGCTCACCTGGTTGGGGGACTCTGCTGAGAGCAGGGAAGCCTCAGAGTTGATGGAAGAAGACGGAGAGACAGGCTCTATCTTGGTCTGGACATCTGTGGGGTGGTGGGATGAGACAAAGAGCTGGAGATCAGATCAACACTGAAGGAGAAGAGGGTTAAGATGGGGAAATGTGAGACATGGTCATTTTTCCTTGTACCTGAACATAAAACTATTCTGACCCTAGGCAGGCAATCCAGAAGGAGGAGCCATGGGGCTGCCACTCTGCTGGCTCTCCTCCTACCTGTTTACCCAGTACGTCCTTTCTCCTTCAGTGGCTCCTTCATTTTTTTCACCACTGCTCAGTTTTCCTCAAGGATATCCTTGTCCTTCTGTATTCTCTCTTTCTTTCTCACAGACCTTGTCCATTCACTTAGAGGAGGCCCAAGAAGGGGGAGTCTCCAGCATTCATATGGGCCCAAACTCCTATCTGGCTGGATGTTCACCACATCCTGGCCCAATGCTATCATGCATCTCCATGCTGACAACTGCCAAGCCTGCATCTCTACCCTTGATTGCTCCCCTGCATCCATACTACCCGTTTTGGTACTTAATTATACAATCGCCAATATTGCTATTTTAAAATTTCAAATCAATTTATGTTTTTGAATAGGTAATACACATATATGACACAAAATCCCAAAGGAACAAAGGAGAATTCAGTGAAAACTGAATCTCCTTCCCTTCCTTGTCCACCAGCCACCCAGATCCCCTCCTCAGGGGTGACCACTGTTTGAGCTATTAACTGCGTGTTATAACCCTCATGAGACTCTCCAAAAGCAAGAGCTATGTCTTATGCTTCATGTCCATCAAAGCAATGGGTAAAGTACAGGTTCTCAAAAAGTACCTAAATAATAGGAGACAACCTGACTCCAGTAACACCCTCCTCTGCAAAGTCATCAACAATCTTTTTTCTGTTAAAGGCTTTTCAATCCTTATTTTGTTTGTTCTCTTTGTAACTTTTAACAATGTGCTGGATATGATCTGTTTATCCCTCCAAATCCACTCTCCATCCTTCCTTGTCCAGCTCTGAGGCCAAGGAGGAAAACATGAATGGACTGCATCATCAGCCTCCCTTGCCCTTCAGCTTCTGATTGGAGTTCAGTGAGACAGGCAGTGCCAGGAAACCGTGAAGGCACTTTGAAATCAACAATCAACACGTCCAACACTGACTTCACCATCCTCCCTAAGCAGAGGCCTCCTGCTGTTGCGGTCACTATCCAGTGAAAGGTACCACTGCCCACTGGATGGTTGCCCTGGCCAGAAACCCAGACATCCTCTTTGACTCCCACCTCTCTCCCATGCCCAGAAGGTCACTGCAACTCATCCATTCTACTTCATTCTTTCTGCCTTCTTCGTGGCATCCAAATATCTTACTTGATTAATTGCATGAGCCTCTTCCTTGATCCTCCTCTTCCTGCCTCTCTGCAACCCATTCTCTCTTCTGCCACCAGAGTCATCTTGCTAATCATATTGCTCTCCTACTTGATTCTTCAAAGGTTCCAGACTGCCCACAGGATAAAAGCTAAGAGTCCCTTAACAGGGTTCCCACCTGGCTCTGCAGCCTCTGCAACTCTGCCATTCCCCACTCCCTCCCCAACTCCACTCTGAAGAGATGCAGGTTTCTTACACACACATACTCCAGTTCCCACATTCTTCTTCTGGCTAATTTCTATGTGCCTCTCAAAACTTAGCTCAAGAAACCCTTCCTCTGGGAGCACATCCCCGATCCAGCCCCAACTGGGTGAGATGCCCCCTCTTAGGGGCTTTCATGGCACTTGGATGATCTCTATCCTTGAATTACCACACCTGTATTGACTGGTACTTGTCTTTTTCCCCCACCACACTACAAGATTCTCAAGTCAGTGTGGTAGTCATGTCTTCTTCATCTCTGCGTCCCCAGCACCCTGTCTAGTATCTGGCATGGATTAGGTACTCAATAAATGTTTACTGAATAAACATATAAGAGTAAATAGGTGCCAGCCCAGTGGCACAGTGGTTAAGTTCGTGCACTCTGCTTTGGTGGCCTGGGGTTCGCTGGTTCAGATCCTGAGTGTGGACCTATCCACACTTATCAAGCCATGCTATGGCAGGCGTCCCACATATTAAAGTAGAGAAAAATGGGCACAGATGTTAGCTCAGGGCTGATCTCCCTCTCCCTCAGGAAAAGGACGAGGATTGGCAGTGGATGTCAGCTCAGGGCTAATCTTCCTCAAAAAAAAAAAAAAAAAAAAGGCAAATAAACTGAATAACAAAAAAAAATAGCCCAAATCATGTTAATTGTAGAATCTAGTATTCAATTTTTCTGTATGCTTGAAAAATTTTATAATAAAACATTGGAGGGGAAGTAACATAAATAAATATGCCCTAAACTGTCCACAGTTTTTAAAAAATGCAAAGCAACAGGATACTAGGAAAAAGAAAGAAGAAAAGTCATTCTCATATCTTTAGTGCTGCCCTTGCTGTGGTTTCTTAAAATTCTCCCCACCCTCCTGGCCTCTCTCCTGGTTATCTGCCATTTTCCCTCCCCACCCTTTCTTCCCTGTCCTGCTCCCTACACGTCCCTCCCAACAACAATCTACACCCCCTCCCACACACACCTCCACACTCAATCTTGCTAAAGCCTGGGGCTGGTGCAGGCTGTTATTACCTGAGGGATCATCAGAGGTGGGGCCCACATTGATCTGGATGGTTTCAAATGGGGACGTTGGGTCATCTCCTAGGAGGCAGAGTGGAGGTGCCAAGGACTCTGTCTTCACAACGAGCACCTCCCCTATACCAGGACCCTAGGTGAGAGTAGGGGTGAAGCAGGAGGGAAGAAAGAAAATAAGCGAGGTGTTGAGAGTGAGAGCAAGAACAAAGTTTAAGAGCTTACAAACCACCTGTTATTAACATTCTGGTTTGAATGGTGCTGAGCATCTCCCTGAGCTGTCTCTGGCCCCTGTTCTGTCCTTCTGCTTTATTCCTGGGAAGGTCAATGAAGTCTCATGATTTCAAATATTGCCTTAGAGTGGACAACTTGGGCAAGAACAGTTCCAGAATTCTCAGCAGTTAACAACTCTCTTCTTCCCAGCTCCACCATGGCTGCCACATATCTCTGTACATTAAAAAGACTCCATCTGCACTTCTAGACAACCACAGTGGAGATGTGGAAAATGAGGATATTAAAGAAAAGGCAGAGGCAGGGAAGACTTCACCCCCATGACTCATAGCACACAAATCATTTCCTTAGCACCTATGGGTGAAAGGGATGGAGCAGAGGCCGTGCCACAGAGAGCAGGAGGGAGATGGGTCTCTCACCTGGCTGGAGGGCTCCGTAGAAAGACGCGATGATTCAGAGGTGAAGGAGGAGGAAGAGCAGGGGGAAGATGGCTCAGACTTCACCTGAAGATCTGGAGGAAACGGGGTTAGAAAGTAACCAATAAGCAGAGTCTGAGAAGAGCCCCAGAAGTGTCCATGGATGTGGGGACCCCTCACTGGGCCAAGGGGGAAGGAACACGTGAGAAATTAAAAGAGAGAGGAGTGCACAGGCACTCATGTAGAGGAGGCGTAAGGATACAGGAAATTAGGCAGTTTCTGGAAAACAGTGGGAAGATGAGAGTTTCTGGAAGGATTAGGGAATCAGAAAGGATTTCTTACCTGGGAAGATAGGCACGGAGTCCCAGGGGGGTTCCGGGGGGCTGACATCCATTCCCACGTCCAGGGAGCTGCTGCCAAACTGAATAAGGCAGTATATTAGACGGCAGGAGAGTAAGGAAGGGACGGCTCCAGATGAGCTCTGGCCTGGGAAGGACTCCTGGTTCTGAGACCACTCTCGCCCACCAAGAGTTAGAGACAAGGCTGGGGGAGCAATACCGGGACATCCTGCTCCGGGCAACGGAAGAGCTGCGTCTGTTCCTCGGCCACTTCATCCAGACCAGTGTACAAGGTGCTATCTACAAGAGGTGCGGAGTGTCAGGGAGGTGGTCGGGTGGCCCGGCCTACAGTTCCACACAGAACCCTCGCCCCATCCCTCATTGGCTTGGCTCGGCCAGACCCACCGCCCGCCCACTTGAAAAGTGATCCAGCCAAAGAACTTCAGCCCCTCCCTCCCCGACCCCGGAACAACTCGACATTTCCGCGGAGCGGAGGTCTTCCCCAACTCCCGCATCCCCCGAATACACAGCGAGCCTCCCTGCTCCGCCCTCCTTCGGATGGTGGGTTCCGTATTTGCCCAGCCTTCCTCTTTGGGCTCCGCTTCCTTCCCACGTGCCTCAGGGGCACAGTATGCCACAGCCCTCTCCCCTCCCCGAGGCCTCACTCCGCAGACCCCAGTCCTCCGGGCTCAGCAAGTTGTCGGTGAAAAAACGGGTCGGGTCCGCAATCTCGCTGAGGAGCATCAGCTCCGCCATCTTTTCCCCCCCGCCCCCCAACCCTGAGACGGTTTCCGAGGCCCGCCTCTCCGCATCATCAACTAATCAGTTGACTCTTAAAAAAAAAAAAAAAAAAAAAAAAGGGGGGGTCGTCCCGGAAGTTCTATCAACCAGTAAGAGGCCTGGGGGATGAGCACATGAATCAATAGAAGAGGTGGCTGTAGAGGCCGGGCCAATGGGAGCACAGCGGAAGAAGACGGCACTTTCAAAGTACCCGGGTGTGAAGCCTGCGCATGCGCCAAACAGGACCAAGCGAGAACGAGCCTGGGAAACGTAGTTCTCAGGATTTAAAGGTCCGCCACCCTCCTCTTCAAAACCAGTTCTAAATTTTTAAGTTTGGACGGCTTCTGTTCATCTTCGGAGATGGATAAGCCCCCCAAAACGTACCACACGTGACCATATGGCTTTTTAATGGTAAAAAAAGGGAAAGAGGCGCACTGAGACCATTGTTAGCTCCCCTAGGAAGGCAAAAGCTGGGACTGGGATACGGGCTGAAACCCTCCCTGTAGGGCCCCCCCCAAATCTCACAGCATAGACCACAATTCACAGGTTCCTGTCTTTTTTAAGGTTTAACTTTTAATCAGCCGAACATCTTGCGCAGACCCTGAGCCAGCCCTGCATCCTGTTTCTTCCCCTGAATGATCACCTTTCCTAACTCCTCCTGGGCTGCCCGGTTTTTTGGGTCTACGGCCAGCACTCTCCTAAGGTCAGCAGTTGCTTTTTCCAGGTTCCCAAGGGCAGCCTGGGCAACTCCCCTTCGGTACAAGGCCTTTAAATGGCCAGGCTCCCGCTCCAGCACCCGGTCACAGCTCTGGGCTGCCAACTGGGGCTGGCCTAGCAGCAACTGACAGGCAGCCAGGTTGGCATGAAGGACAGTTCGTTCTGGAGAGCCAGGCGGGGGTAAAGTCAGCAGCAGCCGAAGAGCCCGTCCATAGCATCGGGCAGCCCCTTCAGGGTTCCCAGCTCGAAACAATTCTGTGCCCCTTGCACGTTCTTCCCTGGCCAGGGCCTCTTTCTCGCTGGCCTCCAGCTCCCAGGAGTCTCGGCCCTGAGTGAAGGAGGCCAGTGTGAGCCTGACAAGAGGTCCAGAGTGTCCAGGGAGCTGAACCTCTGCCTCTTCGCCTTGACACATGGACTCCAAGCATTTCTCTACGAGCTCCCCCCAAGTTTCCTCCCTCCATGAGCCTAACCCCATAGTTAGCTCTGTCCAGCCCTCTGACAGCCCGGAGCCAAAAGGAAACCCAAAAGCCAGTACCCGGCAGCGGGAGCCCAGCTTGGGTTTGTCCAAGCCATGGCCACGGATTATGATCTTCTTGACAAAGCTCCCATCCGGACAGTACCAGAGATCAGAAGCTTGATGGGGCTCTGGCATCTCACTGGCTGATCCATGAGACTCATCAGAATCTCCTTCAAGTCTAGAGGCTAGTTTTTCAGTTCCTTGAGGATTCTCTAGAATTTGGCTGGCTGTATCTGGGCTCACTGTCAGTTCAAGGATTTCAGTGGGATAGTCTTGGGGCTGCTGCCTAATCTGAGTAATGGAATCAAAGTTCTCCCGGGAGTTCTTTTCCCATTGTTCTTGCTGTTGAGAGGTGTCCTTCTCTCCCACTGGACTGACTGGTAGCGTCTCCATATGGCTGCCTGTTCTCTTCCACCGTGGGTGAACAGTTTTGGTAGGAAAGGGATGGACCAGGTTCAGGTCAGCACCTGAAAAGAAAATAAAAACAATGCTAATGGCAGGAATCTTATTTAGACTCCTTTCTCGTCCTTTCCCGTCTTTCTGGGACCCGGGTCCCTGGTCCTCAAAATCCTCATTTTTTCCCCCTACAAAAATCTCTGTCCAACTCGAGCCGTTCCACCCAGAACTCATCCAGAACTATAAATTCCACAATTCTCTGCGGTTCGGGTAGCAGCCCCAACTACGGACACCCGAGCGAGTCAAAAAATACCTGGCGGCCGAAGGGCCTAGCCTGGTGGCAACAGCCGGACCATCCGAATCACCTCTCCTTCCGAAGCTAAATGCTTAGTGAGTACTGTCCTCTGAGTCCTGCTCCAGGCGGAGAGGACGGCCGAGGGGCTGGTGCAGCTGGGCAGAGACGCTGACAGCTAACCCTGGAGCCCGCGAGGCAGCGAAGTTAGTCAAATTCCTCATAGCCAATCGAGAGGAGGGAGGTGTCTGGTTACCCCGCCTTTTGGACGTGACGTCATTTCCCGCCGCAACCGGGAGGCCCCAGGCCGTAGCAACCGAGCTAGGCCCAATCGAACCGAACTAGGTGAGGTCGCGCCGGCCGGGTTATTGAGAGTCAAAAAGTCTGGAGGAGCCCCGGAGTGGGAGATTGGAGCGAATAGGGGTAGAGCGGGGGCTCGCGGTGAATGATAGCGGCAGCGGACCCTCAGGCCCACTTGTACTATTCTTCTATCTCTATGTTCCGGGCTCCCAGCAGAGTCAACCTGTCTGCTCCTCCGCCCATTCAATCCAGGGTGCTCCAAGGTAACCCCCAGGCCTCTTTCTCCCCAACGGGTTCTGTTCCCTTAGGGGACCACTTGAGGCTTCTCCTTATCTTTCCCCTCATATTCGTCATTGCCTTTCAAGCCCTTCTTCCTCAAGAAATCTTGGTGCTTTTCAAACGTTGATGTGCATACATGTCACCTGGGGACCTTGTTAAATTGCAGGTTCTGATTTAGGAAGTCTGGGATGAGGCGTATGATTCTGCATTTCTTTCTTTTTTTCTTTTTTTTTCTTTTTGCGAGGAAGGCTGGCCCCCAGCTAACATCTGGTGCCATTCTTCTTCTTTTTGCTTGAGGAAGACTGTCGCTGAGCTAACATCTGTGCCAGTCTTCTTCTATTTTGCATGTGGGATGCCACCACAGCATGGCTTGATGACCGGTGTGTAGGTCTGCACGCGGGATCCGGACCTGTGAACCCAGGCCGCCAAAGTGGAGCATGCAGACTTAACCATTACACCACCAAGCCAGCCCAGATTCTGCATTTCTAACAAGCTTTTGGATGATGATCCTCCTGGCCCATGGACCACACTTTAAATGGCATGATTCTGAATAACCTCATCCCATTCTCTTCACCCCTTTATCTGTGGCCTTTCGGTTTATCCTATATTTTGCATATATAACTGGTATAACCTGCTCCACTGGGTGTATCAGTGGAAAACTGGTCCTCCTCCTAATAAAAGATGTAGGTCCCTTTTGTGATTCAGCCTTGCTTGTCCAGCTCCCTGCACAGGCTGGGCCACCATGCCTCTTCAGGACAGGAGAATCCCGCTCTCATTACCTCACTTTGACTCCTTCTTCAGTTTTCTCTCCAACACCCTGCCATTGTGCTCCAGACTACAAGAACCATGCCAGGACAGCCAGGAGAGGAGGGAGTTTCATCATTAGCCACAGACTTGTGTCAAGACCGTCCTCTCCCTGTTTTGTGTTGAGCCTCAGATTACTAACCCAGACTTTTTTCTTAAGTTTTATTTCTGGGTTCTGTGCCAAAGTAACCTTAGTTTAGTGCCAACCCCTGCCCCTATGGCTAGATACTCTGATTCTTGGAATCCCTGGGCTCTTATTGAAAATGAATCCACGTTTTCTCCCTCCCTCTGCCGCTTTCCATTTCAGAGATTTCTGGGAAAGGCAAGAAGTCTAGAGTTAGTCACAAAAAGTTTGATTACACCCTAATCCTTGGACAAAGATTGCTAATTAGTATTATGTATGTCTTAATTGAAAGGGCCGCTCCAATGATCCTTTGGAGACCAGCTTCTCTCAATTAAAAGAAACTGTACTCTGCTACAAATGTATTGCTTTGTAATGTTCTCTTATTGTTTTGTGTGTGTACGTTTTGCTTCCAATAGACTCCACAGAGCAAGGAACTTGTCTCTCTTTCTTTTGTGTTTCATCTCCTTTTCCATTCATTCATTCAGCAAGTATCTATTGAGCACCTGATGTGTTCCAGGTACATGCTAGGAACTGGGGATACATGGATGAATGAGACACACACAGTCCCTGCTCTCATGGAACTTATAGTCTGGCCAAGGAGAATAAGTAATTACAGTAATGAAAAGAAGTGTGAGATGCTATGAGAGTGAATGAGGGATGAGGGAATATTCCTTGAGGATGAGACGTTTTCGCTGCCATTTAAAGAACAGGTTAGAACTGAACCTCAGAGAACAGACCAATAGACCCCATACTGAGAAGCTTAATCAAATGATCAACTTTGTCTCTTTAGGTGATCTCTTGCCACCATTGTGACTGTAAAAACAAATACAAACATAGACACTGAAACCCCTAAAAGAAAGTAACCCAAATCATCCAGAATGAAAATATTTTTATTTTTTGAAAGATGACCCATCGAAATGAAAACACAAAGTTTTATAAGAGGACTCGAAAGTCCCCAGAGAAGACGTTCATGGATCTCAGCTTGAGAAACACAAGTCGAGGTAGGGGCCAATATGTGAAGACTCAGAAATGGGAATGAGCATAGGCTCTCCCCCAAAGTGTGAATGTTGACTGACTCACACTGCTTGGTCTTTCCCAGTTTCCTATCCATTGAGTCTCAGCTCTCTGGGGATAGTCACCAAGGAATCAGGAAGAAGGAGGGAAACAAGCCAGAAGGATTATATCCCCAGACCTGGCTAGAGAACATGGGATCTCAGAGGGTCTGGCCATGTTTGGCTACTCACCTTGCCCTAGCACACAAGGGCATTGTTTTGCCTCCATTAAAGACCTAACCTGATAGCAGAACCCAAGGAGAGGGTCAGGAGCTGGTGTGAGCTAGCGCTTTATTCTATGTTGTCTCCACACACACAGAGCATATGATACTTGCCCTCTAAATGGGTGAACTAATATTCTCTTCCTGTTCATTCAATAATCCTGAGTACTCAGAATTCACAATGAAACATGGAGGTAAATACAGCAATCCCCATCAGTAGTCTAATAAGGGTAAAGAATCGTAGTTAACAAAAGCTCCAGATGCAAGGGCAAAAGTGATAAGTGGCAGGGAAGTTATTACCAGCTAGGGGTAATCTGAAAAAGAGTGCAGAGTGTTGAGCACTGGAGGGTGGCCATAATTTTGATATGCAGAGATTGAAGGGAGTTATTGCAAGTGGAGGAAGCAGCACAAGGCAGGAGTGATAAGGAAAGGAAAGCCACTTTATACCCAGTATTATTCATCTCCAGCTTGTCAATCTCTGCTTTTCCAGAGTATTCCAATACCCATTTGTGCTGCCCTGTCACCAGGCATCAAGCTGGCTGGAAGTTTTTACACCCGCACATTCTCCCGCATTCCATACTCACTACATGGAACCATATGCTGTACTTACTCTCTGCCATTTGCCATCAGCATGGGAGACAAAAATTCTAGCTTTCCGAAGGCTAAATAAATTTCCCCTTCTGTTTAGCTTTGGTGGTTTCTGTGGTTTTTAGTTCTGCTGAAATTTATGTCAAAATTGTTCCTTCCTCCTCTTTGCTCCCAAAGCATTTTCCTCATGCTTTCCTTGTAGGCAGGGTTTTCAGGCAAGATGAAGCAGTGAAAGGCAGCCAATATTTCCAGTGAAATATTTAATGATAAGAGCTGCTCGTTACTGAGCCCTAGCCATGCATTATGACCACAATACCAGGCATTGTGCTAAGAACTCATGTAGATTTCCTCATTTTCTCCTCACACAACTCCATGAGTTACTTATTTAGCCATTCAACAAATCTTTATTGAGAGTTTCCTGTGTGCCAATCACTGTCCTAGGTTCTGGGAATAAGGCAGTGGAAAAAAAGACCTGGATCTCTTGTAGCTTATATTCAAGTAAAGATAATCGGCAGTAAAAATCAATCAATAAAATATGTCAATTTTGTACAACAAGGTGGTATTGGATAAATAAGTATATCAAAAAGGAGAAAAATATGTCAGGCAGTAACGAGTGCTATGAACACAAAGAAGCAGGGTAAGGAAATGGATAGAAAATGCCCCTGGTATGTGCGGTTCTGTTTTTAATTGAGTGATGAGGGAAAGCCTCCTTGTGAAGGTGACATTTGCACAAAGACATAAATGATGTAGGGGAGCAAGCACGCAGGTATCTGAAGGAAGCGTGTCCAGGAAGAGAAAGACAAGTGCCGAAGCCCTGAGGCAGGAAGGAGTTGGATTTTTGTGCTAAATTCATTGTACCTAGAAGAACAGAAAGGGAGCCAGTGCAGGTGGAGCAGAGTAAGCAAAAGAAAGGGTGGGAGGGGATGAAGTCAGGTGGGGAGGAACAAGGCCAGAGAGGCTTTCTGGGCCAAGGTAAGGGTTTTGTTCTGAGTGTGATGGGGAGCCATTAGAGGGTTTGAGTAAGGTGACTGATATCATCTGATAATTTAAAAGATCACTCTGGTTTCTGCATGGTCTGGTTTTCTGAAAGCAGAAAATCCAATTAAGAGGCTAGCCAAGGGACAAGGGTAGCAAGGGAGCTCGGATTAGGGTAGAGGTGAAGACCAAGGGTAGAGTCTGGAGGCCCTCTAATATTTAGGAGTCTGGAAGAGGAGTAGGAGCTGTCAATGAAGACTGAGAAGGAGCAGGAAATAAGGACCTAGCAAATGCTTTCTTTAGTTGGATCCGGAAAGAGTATTTGAAGTGAGGAAAGAATTTGAAGGAGGAGGGAGGGATAACTGTGTCAAATGTTGCTGATGGGTCGAGACCAGGGTTTCTCAACCTTGACACAAATTACATTTAATTACAACATAGTTAAATGAGCATGATGCAGCTTAAGAAACAACATCTTCCTGCCATTGTGGAAACTCCTCCTGTGTCCCTCTCCCATCAGATTTCCCCTTCTGTCTTGGGGTAACCACTATTCTGAATGTTGTACTTTTACCACATAGGGGAGTAGCAAATTAGTTTTTTTCTTCTTCTCCTTCTCAAAGAGGAGCTATGTTATTATAGCATGTTTGTATGATGATGGGAATGTTTCAGTAAAGAGGGGAAAATTGATTATGTGGGAGAGAAGGGGATGATTTCAAAAGCACCATTTTTGAGCAGGTGAGAAGGGATGGGATCCCACTATAGAGATGGGATGGGGGCTGGGAGCAGGTCAGCTTCTCTCCAGTAACAAGGGGAAGACATTGAATAGGATAGAGATGCAGGTAGCCTGGTAGATTTGGGGGTGGGACCATGAGGAAGTTTCTATGTTCTCACCGAAATAGGAAGAAAGGTCATCATCTTCTGAAATTGTGGTCTCAGAATTGGGGAATGTGAACCAACTGGGGAAATGTGGGCTTGCAGGCCATGCTGAGGGCCCACAGGAAGTGAAACCAGTTTGTATGACTGTGTATTTTTCCCTAGACATATTCAGCTGTTGGGTGCATGTGTGGATTTATCCAGGGATAAAATGTGTCTGAGGGAGAGGGGCCAAGAATACAAGGCTGAGAGGCAATTATGGCATTGAACTTGCGATCTACACTAGGTAATGAGGGAAGTGAAAAACTGAGGGGTTCAAATAACAAAGAGGAATGAGAGAGTCAATGGATGGAAGGTCCAGGTGGAGCTTAAGAATTTTTGGAATGGGGATGCTAGGTGAAGGGGGGGGTGATATGAAAAGACTGAAGAAGTGTTGGAGGGGCAACAGTTATTGTCTGTAAGCAAACTGAAGAAAGGACACAGGGAGAGAGTGGCTGAGGAGGGAGAAAACATGTTAGAAGGAAGGAAGGCACGGAACTGACCAGGGTGCTGGATGGTTATCTATACAGATATTGAAGCCATCAAAAATAATGAAATGATAGAGGTGGTGGTTAGCTAGGTGCTGAATCTTCAAGGAGCGGGGAGTGATGGCCCAGAATTGAATCATAGGGGAATCAGAGCTCCCAAGTAGATGTTAGAGGGGCAGAGCCTCTCCTGAAGGATGGAATCTCTGTCGATAGGGATGCAAGAACGAAGGGCATCTTGTTTGGAGGGAGTTGAGGTAAGGTGGGAGGAGAATTAAATTGGAATATGCCTCCTGAGGAAGGAGTCTGGGTGAAGAGGTCTGGGAGAAGTCATTTTCGTTCACTTCTTCCTCTGCCTAATTCCTTTCAATTCAATTGAGTTCAAAGATTGGTAGAAGAGGTTTTTTTTCTGAAGAGGATCTGAAAATCAGAGATAAGCCAGATTTGGCTCCTGCTTTCAAATAGCTCACAAGGTAAGGTGAGTACATCAAGATCTCAGGTGGGAAGAGATGGGAAAAAATGCAGACGATGTGAACAAGGAGTAGGTTTTAGACCCAGATATCTTCCTCCTAAAGAAAGTTGCTCTGTGTGAAGCCACAATTTCTGGCATCTCCCATCCCCCTTGGTGGTCACTAAAGTGCCTCCAAGCCTGTAATTCCCAATCTTGGCTGCCCTTTAGAACGATCTGGGGATGTCTTAAAAAATATTGGTACCTGAGTCCCACCCCCAGAGATTGTAATTTAATTGGTCTAGGATTCGACCTGAGCTTTGGGATTTTTAAATGCTCCCAGATGACTCTCATGTGTAGCCAGGGATGAGAATCATTGCTCCAAGCAACGCCTGCAGGTCTATTTAGAAACCCACTGTTTTAATTCAACCTGTAGGAGAGAGAGATCCCTTCTTGCTGGAGTGAGGGGGTGAACTGATCTGGGCCTTGAAGGATAGATAAATTTTGACCAAGTGGAAAAGCAGATGTGAAGGAGGAAAGAACGTTATGAGCAAAAGCTTAGATGTGGTCTGAAACACAGGACAAGCGGCAATTTGGTTTATAATAGGCAGAGATTGGAGAAAAAGGTCTGCGATTTGAGAACAGCTGGGCAAAGACAGGAGGTGGGAATGATGAGTAATTCAGTTTGGTTGGAGATTAGGTTGAAGAGAGAAAGCTGGATGATTTTAAATTGTAGAAGGGGTTGAAGGCCAGATTAAAATTCTGAAACTAGGGGCTGGCTCTGTGGCCGAGTGGTTAAGTTCGCGCGCTCTGCTGTAGCGGCCCAGGGTTCGGATCCTGGGCGTGGACATGGCACCAATCGTCAGGTCACATTGAGGTGGCGTCCCACATCCCACAACTAGAAGGACCTGCAACTAAAAATATACAACTACGTACAGGGTGGGTATGGGAAGATAAAGCAGAAAAGAAAAAGAAAAGATTGGCAACAGTTGTTAGCTCAGGTGCCAATCTTTTCTTAAAAAACATTTTGTAAATAATTCAGTAAGCAACAGGGAATCTTGAAGGGCTTTTGAGCAGTGGAGTTACATGAAGTGTATTTAGGAAGGATAACCTGACTTGGAGTGGGGAGAGGTGGGAAGTAGGAAGACCTGTTAGGGGAGCTGTTGCAATAATTCTAGATGAGGTCATTTTTCTGGCAAGGGCTGGGGAAAAGTTACACATTCAAAAGATATTGTAATAGTGGAATTGACTCTGCTTGACAGCACACCAAAAGTAAAGGCAGGAGGGAGAGGGAAGAGGCATCACATTTTCAGATAAGGGTGCTGGGAAAATGTTGCCATTAACAGAGATAGGGAAGCAGGTTTTTGGTGGCATGTCATCAATTTGGTTTGGAACATGCTGAGTCGAGAGGACCATGTGGCTGTGTTCCACAGACATCAGAAGAATGTCTGCATATAAATACATTGGTTGGAGAATGTCTTAGTCAACTTGGACTGCTGCAACAGAGTACCATAAACTAGTGGCATATAAAGAACAGATATTTTTTTTTGGAGGAAATATTCTTTTTTGAGGAAACATTTTTTTTTTGAGTTCATAATAGTTTATATCATTGTGAAATTTCAGTTGTACATTATTTCTTGCCTGTCACCACATAGGTGTTTCCCTTCACCCCCTGTGCCCACCTCCCACCCCCCTTCCCCTGGTAACCACCGAACTGTTTTCTTTGTCCATGTGCTTGTTTATATTCCACATATGAGTGAAATTAAACAAGAGATATTTATTTCTCACAGTTATGGAGGCTGAGAAGTCCATGATCAAAGCGCTGGCAGATTCAGTGTCCGGTGAGAGCCACTTCTGGTTCATAGGCAGTCATCATCTAGCTATGTCCTCACATGGTGGAAGGAGCAAGGGAGCTCTCTGGGGGTGTCTTTTATAAGGGCACTAACCCCATTAATGAGTGGATGAATGACATACTTACCTCCCAAAGGCTGCACCATCACACTGGGGATTAGGTTTCAACACACGACTTTGGGGGAAACACAAACATCCAATCTATAGCAGAGAAGCATTTGGTTAGAAATGATGTCTGAGTTTGGAGTAGATGAGATTTTCAAGGGGAAGCCTCAGAGAAGGAAAAAATCCAGAGATAGACACATAAGGGAAGAGTGAAAACAAGGAGGAGAGAGGGAAGGCAGGATGATTGGAGGTGTGTGTAGAGGGAGACGGGGAGGAGATAATATGTCCCTGAACCTGAGGGAGTGGGGAATCCAGGGTCGAGGGACAGACATGGGAGTGTTGGGAGAGGCAGAGTACTGTGAAAATGCCTTTGATTTTGGCTCCTGGTAATTTCTGGTCATGGTTACTATTTGAGAGAGCAGTTTCAGTAGAGTAGGGAATGGAAGCGTATTTCAAAGGGTTGAGAAACAGTGGGTATGAAAAGAAGACACAGACACATCTCTGACAACAATACTCCCTATTTAAGGGGGAAAAAAGTGAGTAGGTGGTGAGGAAGTGGGAGCTGCAAATGTGAGTTCTTTTTTCAACAAGTCTGGTGAGGAAGGCACATTAAGCCTGAACAGTCAGAAGGAGAACACTTGATTTCCATAGCCCATCCCATCCTCATCCCATGTCTCCTACCTCAGTGCATGACTTTCCTTCTAGATTATCAACTCCATGAGATTCAGTGTTCACGTCTGCTGTCTGGAAAGATCTGTCACTAGCTTCCTGCACGGTGTCTGCATGTTGTATGAATGGACAAATTCAGGACAGGACCCTGTCCTGCAGGTGTACAAAACTGAAGATACCAACTCCACTGCTGTGCCACTCCCGCCACCTCCTTAAGAGGCCTCCCAGTTGACCTCAGGGTAGGAGAGGGCAACTACCCCAGTTGGACTTGAGAGGCTATTGACCTTCTCCTTAGGGCTTAGCTGTGGTCTGAAGGTTTGTGTTCCCCCCTAAATTCATATGTTGAAATCCTAATGCAATTTGGTGTTATTAGGAGGTGGGACCTTTGGGAGATGCTTAGGTAATAACAGTTCGGCCTTCATGAACAGGATTAGTATTCTTAGAAAAGAGAGCCCCACAGAATTCCCTAGCCCCTCCCACCATGTGAGCATACAATGAGAAGTCCACAACCCAGAAGAGGGCCCTCATCTGACCATGCTGGCACCCTGATTTCAGACTTACAGTCTGCAGAACTGTGAGAAAAAAATTTCTGTTCTTTATAAGCCACTCACTTGAAGGTAATTTTGTTATACCAGCCAGAATGGACTGAGACAGGCTCCCACAGCTCTCTACTCCCTTTGTTATGGGAGTATTGCAGTATTCTTCGCTATGCAGCATTGGTACAAAACAATAGGTAGGGTTATAATCCAAGTTGTCTGCTACTCTCTGCCCACAGGCATGAACAGCTGTGGGAGTTGGCATCTTTTCCCTGCTGCTGCCACCCTATCCCTGACCAACTTCTTCAGGATGGTCTGCCCTCTTCTTTCCTCCTGATTTCCTGGAGGTCTGGGGATGGATCCCTGGATCTCCTTGTAAATCCTCCCTCTCCAAAGCCCTAAACCTCATCTGGTAGGGAGTGGGAAAGTGGGCTGGGGAAGGAAATCCCCACCAAGAAGGGACCACAAGGTCACAAGGTCTTCCCGGGTAGGATTCCCAGCCCTGCCCTCGCCCCCCCCCCCCCCCCCCCCCCCCCCCCCCCCCCCGCACCTCCCCAAACTCCCCCCCTCTTTTGTGTCTGTCTCTCTGGTGTCCTGGGAATCTGTCTCCTCCCACTTTTGTTTCTGTCCGTTTTCTTTTTTTTCCCTGGAAGGGGTGGTGAGGGGAGGTGAAAGAGGGAACCAAAAGAGCAGGGTCTTTGCAAGGCTGCAGTCTTCGGAATTGCGGGTGATAAATCCACTTAGTCTCTTTAATATTGTCTTTCAGAAATTCACACACACTCACACACAGATCAGAACAACGTGGAGACCGCCAAGGGGTGTGGGGAGAGGGCCGGCTCCCTCCCGACATTGGGAGGTCTGTACCCTGGGTTCCCTCCTACCCGGCTGCCCAGGGGTTGGGATAAGTGGGAGTATTTACAGAGAACGGAGACGTAATCTTCATCCCAAGGTGAAGGGTCTTAAACTCGGAACCTCCCAAATCTCATTCTTAAAAAGCACAAAAGTAGATAGAGGTTCCGGGATTAGCAAGAAAATAGGCGGAGACCCTGGTGGAGGAGAGACAAAACTGTACTAGCAAAAAGTGGAGTGAGCGTGGGGTCCTGGCTACCCCGGGCCTCGGCCCCCGCGCCGGGAGAAGGGGAGGAGTTTGTCGGTCTGGGGGCGAGGCTTGGCGCCACAAACCCAATCACCGGACTGAATCACCCCGCGGGGAAGAAAAGAAGGCGGAGCCTGCCGACCTGGCGGCGGGGTTTTGTCAGAGCCGGGGCTGAGCCTACAGAGGAGGCGGGGCTTTAGGGAACAGTCTCCAGGCTGCGGAGCAGAGACCCAAGGAGCTCGACTGGGGGTGCTGCTTTTAGAGAGGGTGGGGGCCTGGGGCAACTGAGGGCCCCGCATTTGGCGGGGATCCCGGGAAGCGGCGTCCCTGGGGGTGTGGGCTTCTTCGGGGTTCCTGAGGAACTGGATTCGGAGCGTGCCCGCAAGGCGAGAGGTTCCATGGAGGCCAAGTTTAGGATTTATGGAAGTCCGGTGGCCCCAAAGGCGGCTGTGCAAGGCGCCCATTGGATCCACGGCGTGACTGCAGAACGCACTTGGGAGGTTAAGGGGCGCAGGGTGGGGCCGGGCCGGGGGCGTCCTTACGGATCCCAGTAGTTCTCGTGGTGCTGAGCGGCAATGATGATGACTACGGTGAGGATGGTACAGAGCACCATGGCTGCGATGCCCACCGCCAGGGAGATGAAGGAGAAGTTCCGGGCCTCGCGTGAGGCGATCTCGGCCGATACCATGTCTCCGCGGGCCAAGGCCGTGCGCACCTGCGGGGCAGGGGTGGAGGAAAGCGGATCAGAGAGCTGCTGCCTCGCCCGCACACCTCAGCCTCCGCCTAAGATGCTCCCTAGAACGCCCAGCACTCCCTGGGAATACGAAAAATCGAGTGAGCCCTCCTCCCCATACACCGCCCCCTCCCCCCATCCTCACCTGCACTGCCTTGAAGATGGCGATGATGCCGGTAGGCCAGAAGCAGCAGATGGTGGTCAGCACCGCGATGGGCATGTAGTCGTGCGGCGGGCGCCTCGGCTCCAGCAGGGCCAGCCCTGGACCCTGAGGTGGCGGGGGGAGCGTGGAGGTTACTCCCGTTCCCCCAGGGGTCCCACCTGCGTAGGGCTGTGGAAGGAAGGTTGTAGGGAGAGGATGTCACTCACCCTCTCTGAGCCCACCACCATTCTGCGTCTGGCAGAGCAGTTTTTAAAGCACAAATCTTATGCGTTGCTTCTCAAAGAACCTGATCATCCACTACCCTTCCAGGACACCCATAAATTCCACCTGGGTCCCTCTCCTGCCTTCATTGCTGTCGCTAACCCTATATTCTTGGGGATCTCCATACTCCCTCCCCCAAGGTATGGCCCCACCAGCGCTGCCCTGGCCTTACTTCAGACCTGGTTTCTTCTCTCCAGATATCTATCTGGCCTCTCGCTCACTCAGACCCGGGTTTCTTCTCCCTCATCCTCCTTGGTTCCTAGGTTTCATTTCTCCCCCTTCCTCCAGGCTGTTTCTTTCTTTCTAACCTCTGGACATCTAGGCTCTGTTCCCCTTCCCAGGCCCTGATCTCTGACCCCAACTGACCACCAAACGCCCCAACCCTCCACTCCCAGGCTTTTCCTTAGTCGCTCCTCTGTCTAGGCTTTGGCCCTAGAACAGGGCGTGGTTTCTGTTTCTCTATCCCACCAGCCCTCAATGTGTCCCCAGTTCCCGGTCCTGTTCCATTGTGCCCCCACCCCCTCCTCCCAGGCCCCTGATTGCCCCGTACTCACCGTGCCCACCGGGTAGACTGGCACGTAGGCAGTGCAAGGCTGCAGCTGTAAGGGGTAGCCGGGGGCAACGTAGCCCCCTAGCGGCAGCGTGCCCACCGCCCCCGTATGCGTGGGCACCACGAAGCCTGGGGCCTGGGCAGTGTGAGCGGGCGCCGGCGGGGGCGGGGCGGCGGCGGCAGGCGGCGGCGGGGGCAGTGGGCCCTCGAAGCGAGTCTCCTGCAGGTAAGGGTCGGGTGGCATGCGGGGCAAGGTAGCGCAGCCCGGTGGGGGAGCCCCGGCTGCTGAGCCTGGAGGGGCATGGTGTGGGGGCCGCGGCAGAGTGGCAGAGGATGAGGGACCGCGCTGAGCGGTTGCCGCGGAAGAAGCCAGGCCCCCTGCTCCTAAGCGCGGAAGGGTGGCCGTGCCAGACTGGTGGTAGTGGTGGTGGTGATGATGGTGCGAAGAGGCGGCTGCCTGTGGGGGTGGGGCAGGGGGTTCGGCCGGGGGCTGGGGGGCATTGTAGGGTGGTGGAGAGGTATGAGGGACTGAGTCCGGGAGGCCTGGAGGCGGTGAGCAGAGGCGAAGGTATGGGGAGAGAAGACAGACAGAGATGAGATAAGGAGGGGTAGGGGGAGACACAGGGTCAGGGATGGAGACAGTCAGGGGAAATGGGTGAGAAATCATGTCTCATTCTTGGGGCAGGAGAGGGGTTGTATCTAGGCCATCTGTCCCCCCCCTTTCTTCCTTTCAATCTAGTTTTGAGGTCACAACTCTCCTCTGCTCCTCTCCCTTCTTCAGCAAGGTGCACACAGCTTTCACCTGCAGACCCAATCTCCCACTTCCTTGGTTTTTGGCTGCCTTTGGACTTGCCTATCTGAGCTGCTCCTGTGTGTGCACATGTGTACACATGCAACACTATGTTAACATGTGCTCAGTCCGACAGTTGTATAAACATATGTAGGATGACATGTTCCACTCTGCCGTTCCTTCAGTGGGGAAGGGATGCCCTAGCCTCTCTGGGAATCTCAGTAACTCTTTTAGGGCTGATAAAGAAGGGTCCTCTGGATTTTACTCCCCTGATAACCCCCATCTGATCATGTCTCCATATTTCCCCACTGTATGTCTCCATGCGAGCCAATGTCATCTGTCCCTCTGTCCCTCCCAGTGATGCTATCCCTGCAGTACCTGGCTGAAGCTAAGCTACTCTTCTACTTCCCTCACCCTCTCAACCTGCCCCCTGCCCTGTTGCTGGCAAGGGGCCGAGGCTGAGACTGGAAGGAGGAAAGGAACAGAAGAGAGGGTTATAGAAAGAGGAGAGGGATTGGGGACGGGGGAGGGGGAACGTTGAGCGCAAGATAGAAAAGGAATGAAACAGAACCACCCGCTTGGGAGGGGTAAGGAAGGGGGTTTGGGCCAAGGGTTGGGGAGAGTCAGAAGACGGTGGAGAGGATGGGAGATTTTGTTGTTATTTTTTACCTGACTTTTCGGATGACATGCCTGCGGTATCGCTGGAACAGGGTCCCTGCAGCCGGAGTCGGGGTCCCCGGCTGGCGCCAGAGTCTGGGTGCGCGGATTGCGCAGCCCAGCCGGCAGCAGCGCAGAGATGGAGAGATGAAGACAGCGGCGGGGGGCGGGGGTAGAGCGGCAAGAGGGGGAGCTTAAAGGGACCGAGGCGAGGGAGGGGGAGCGCTTCAGACGTAACCCCGCTCGGTCTCTCTCCGCTTTGGACTGCGTCTCTCCTCCTCTCACCCCGGCATTCAAGCCCCCAGTTTGGGCTCCCTTGGAGTTGTCATGGAAACAGGGAGGCAAGCAAGACCAGGCAAGGCGGGTGGGACTAAGGGAAGGAAGGCGGGAGAGAGAACTCTCTAGAGTCTTCCCTTCCTAGACTGGCTCTAGCAATGATATGATGGGAGGAAGCGAGCAGGTGCTCAATGCATTCAATATCCCATTTCCCTCCGGATCTGGTTCACCCTAGTCAGGTCTCCCTTCCCTCAGTTTCCCTCACAGTCCCTGTAAGGTCCCAGGATCTTCTCCCAAATCCTTTCCTTAGTTTCCCCCACTTTAGGAGCGATAACTCTGTATGAAAGAGAACCGTGTGCAGAGTTGAGACCTGCGATGGCGTGAAAAGTTCCCAGGGTTATGGCCTCGACCTGTCCCCCTGGCCTGGGGTGAATCGGAGGTAAAGTGGGAGGCTCGGGTCTACAGTAGTTCGGAGGTAGTCGGGCCTGCAGTTGGGGCGGGCGGGTAGGACGGAGAGAAATGAAGAGCTCCAGGGTGAAAGAGCTGAAGAGCTTCGGGAGAAAGAGAGGATGAATCGATTGCTCATTTCAGGCAGCTCGGTTTGGGAATACTGGCTTGGTTCCCCTTTCCCGGTTTGCTTATTGGTTCCTTAGAGTTCCTGGGCCCGTCAGTGTTCAGATGCATTCCTTAAATCCCACCCACCCACCACCCGCGCAGAGACGCAGCCCCACCTCCCTAGTCGACCTTTGGGCTCAGCGATAATTGCAGTCTTTATTTGCTTAGTGCACCCTGGGAGCGCGTAGTTGGGGAGGGGAGGTGAAGACAGGCAGTCTACCGAGACTTACAGAGTTGGGCTTTTTGCAAAAACGCAGTCGGGGAATTATTCCCCTCTCCTTAGTCTAGTACTCCCCCCTGACCCCGTCCCCCAAGGCAGTAGGTCTCCTGGGCTGTCCTTCCCTCCGTGTCCAAGCAGAAACGACTGGGCTGTACAGAGGCCCTCGCCTTGGCCAGTACCGGGCCCAGAGATTTAAATCACGGTCCTGTACCTGTCGTTCTGGTTTCTAAGGCATTCGTGTGAGCCCTTAACCCTCTACTCCCACGCATCCTCACTCTACACAACTCAGGGCGCAAATTTGTTTTATTGGGAGAGACTTTGACCGGCAAAGACCTAGTGAACAGAGGGTGGGGTTCAGACAAGCTGCGAAATCCTTTTCTCAAGGGAAGCGTCTTTAATGCTAAGTAAAAGCCGTAACCATCTAAGTATCGGATAGGCGTCGCAGGCGGAGAGATGCGGGACGCCGGGAGCTCGGAAGTCTGGTGGGAGGGTCTGGGTCGGGAGCCGCCCACAAGGAGTTCCCTGCTAAGTGCCGGATGATGGGGTCGCCGAGGTCTAAAGCCTGGTCATAACCAAGCGAGTGTGAGTCAACGCTGCCCCGGGCGCCCTCCGCCTCTTGGGGCTGGGTAGTCTAGGAGGAACAGAGTAAAGCAGGGCAGGAGAAACTGGGCCAGGCTGCGCTTTTAGCTCGAGGGACCTCAAGGACTCTCTGCGTCTCTAGAGACAAGGACACTACAAGTACTTCAGAATGAAGAGTTGTAAGACGTCGACCTGGGGCAGGCGGGCGGGCAGGGGGTGGGGGTGGGGTCCGCCCGGGCTGGTTTCAGCCCTCCTCCCGCGGACGAGATGCGGGGGATGCCTTTTCTCAGTCTATCCCCCAGCGCCTTCCTGGAGAACTTCATGTTCCTCTGCGGAGACGGACTCCTGACTTGGGAAGTGGGGCGAATCAAGGCAGGGAAGTCGGACCCTTGGGTCGCTGGTGCAGTAGGGCCTGGAGAGGCCTTCTCTCGATTCCCAGGATATGTTTGCTACTTCTTCCTCTCCCCATCGGTCTAAATGGATCGCTCCGCCTACCTCCTCCCCCCGCTCCTAGGGCGCAGTGGACTGTTCCATTGCCCCTCCGGTCCCGGGCCTGCGTTGGGGGGGACGCAGGCACTGTTGCCAGGGAAAGCCCCGGACGTGACGGCTAAGCGCGACCCCGAGCAGCCTCCCCTCTCCCATCCGTCATTCCCCTGCGCGCACTGTCCTCACACCCTCCCCCTCCCCCCCGTGGGTTCCAGACTAGGGAGCAGTAAACAGCTGGCGGAGCGAGGCTCGCGGACGCAGGCCAGGTGGGAGTTTGCACTCTCCGGGGGGTGTGCGTTGCTGCTCAGGGGTCTTTCTGGCAAAACCCCAGGTCGTGGATGGCTAGGATGATGCTTTAGGAAGATCCCGGGCCTAGGGACCGAGTCCCTGCTGAGTTGGGGGCGGGGCTTCGGGTTCACGTAGGTGCGTCTGCGTGGTAGGGGTGTGTGTTTATGGAGAGAGGACTGGAGTAAGTTAAAAGTAGGTTATTTTGTGACAGGTGCCGGGTGTGGGCATGGGCGGGGAAAGCTTGATTGCCGGGTGTCTGTTCCGAGGGGAAGGGGTATTGTCATTTCTCTCACAGGCCCTCATCGCCCCCTTCTCAGGCGGGAGCATGCTGGGGCTCCGGGGGCCGCAGCTACCCCCGGCAGGGATCCTGCTCCTGTTGCCATTCCTGCTGCTGCTGCCGCCCGCAGCCCCCGCGCCCCATCGGGCTTCCTACAAGCCGGTCATCGTGGTGCACGGGCTTTTTGACAGCTCGTATAGCTTCCGCCACCTGCTGGAATACATCAATGAGGTCTGGCAGAGGACACTCAGTTGTGGGGCGTTGGAGGCGTCAAAAGTGGCTGGGAGGGAGAATGCGGAACTGAAAGACGCTCCTGTGGGCCTGCCTAGTTCTTCTGGGAGCTGGTGGTGGCATGGGGAGAGCTGGGGGACGAGATCCCTGGTTCTAGCAGGGCACAATAGGCATGTGGGCGCTGGCCAGGGGGTGTGTGAAGGGGCTTCATAGTCCATCCCCGTTGCAGCATTGCCCCCTTCCCACAGACACACCCCGGGACTGTGGTGACAGTGCTCGATCTCTTCGATGGGAGAGAGAGCTTGCGGCCCCTGTGGGAACAGGTGCAAGGGTTCGGAGAGGCTGTGGCCCCCATCATGGCACAGGCCCCTCAAGGGGTGCATCTCATCTGCTATTCGCAGGGTAGGCACTCCCCTCCCCCCGCCCAGCTCCTAAGCCCTGTCTGAGGCTTGATCCTTATCTGGGGGACACTTCCTAGTGTCCTCTTTTTCTGAACCACATTGCTCCAGCCAGAGCCTTGGTACCTGAGCCCTCCTTTTCTGACTTCCCTCAGCACCAGGTCTTGACCGTGTGTTCCTGAATGGGTGGGAGTCTCCCTGTACTGCTGCCCCTTCTTTCCCCATTACTCATGGTTCTTGGACATGAGGGATAGGGGGGTAGTAAAAAGCACCCTAGAGTTAGAGTCAGAAGACCCAGAATCTATTCTGGTTCTGTCACTTACATGATGTGGGACCGTTTGCCACAGGATGAGCCTGTGTTCTCTGGACCTCCGTCTCCTTTATGTACATTGTGGTAGTGGAGGGCAGAGTAGGGAGGCTGTTGGCCTGGTTGTCCCTAAGTCCCTGCCCAATGTGGTGTCCTGCCTACAGGGGGCCTGGTGTGCCGAGCACTGCTCTCTGTGATGGATGAGCACAATGTGGATTCTTTCATCTCTCTCTCCTCTCCACAGATGGGACAGTATGGAGGTGAGTGGGCATTGTGGGCTCCATAGGGCACCCTGAATTTTGGGGGCACAAGGGTTTGGGGCCACTTGGCACTGCTGTTCTTTTGCCAGACACGGACTATTTGAAGTGGCTGTTCCCTACCTCCATGAGGTCTAACCTCTACCGGATCTGCTATAGCCCATGGGGCCAGGGATTCTCCATCTGCAACTACTGGCATGGTGAGTAGGGGGTGCCAAACTGGGACCTCCATGGAGAGGGCACCCTGGATGGCAGGGCCTGCTATCTCCCCCTCACATAGCTAACAGCAGTGATAATGATGATAACTTAGATTTATTGAGCACTTACTGTGTGAACAGGCACTGTTTAAAATGCTTTATGTGTATCACCTACTGCCTCAGAGAGTATAGTCTGGTGCAGGGGTCGGCAAACTTTTTCTTTAAAGGACCAAATAGTAAATATTTTTGGTTTTGCAGGCCATATAGTCTTTGTCCACAACTACTCGATTCTGCTACACTGTGTGAAAACAGCCGTACGCCATATGGAAATGAACAAGTGTGTCTTTGTTCCAATAAAACTTTATTTACAGAAGCAAGCAGTGGGCTGGATCTGGCTCATGAGTCATAGTTTGCAAATGCCTAGGGTAGTTTTTAAGACCATGGATGCTGGGCCCAGGCTACATGGATTGGAAACCTGACCATGCTGGGTGACTTTGGGTGTTACTTAACCTTTCTGTGACTCAGTTTTCCTCATCTGTAAAATAATAATACAGTATTTACCTAATAGGGTGGTTGTGTGGATTAAATAAATGAATGTGATGTACTTTGAACAGTACCTGGCTCATAGTAGGTGCTAGATAAAGGTGTTTGCTGTCATGTTTACAGTTATTATTGCTACTATTATATTGCTGTGCACCTTGTCTATTACTGTAGCCTCCTGATTGGTCTTCTAGCCTCTGGTCTTGCCTCCTCTTCCTGCTCCTCTGACTATCTTTCTAACTGCTGTTTGTACCCAGACCCCCACCACGATGACTTGTACCTCAATGCCAGCAGCTTCCTGGCCCTGATCAACGGGGAAAGAGACCATCCCAATGCCACTGGTGAGACCCCAGGCTCCCATTTTCTGCTTCTCTGACCCCGTGTTCCCCTCTCCAACCTGGCCTGACTCAGGCTCTCTTTTTTCCAACCTGCAGCATGGAGGAAGAACTTTCTTCGTGTGGGCCGCCTGGTGCTGATTGGAGGCCCTGATGATGGTGTTATTACCCCCTGGCAGTCCAGGTAATAAAGGACTGTGGCCTGAAGATTGGCTTAGAATACCCCTTAACCACCACCATTAATTTCATGGCTAAAACTGACCTGTTCAGTTAATGCCCCCCACCCTCCATTTATCCTGTCACTCAAGACCAAAACCTGCGAGTCATCCCCTAACCCCTAGCCAGTCACTAGGTCCTGCTGACTCTGCTTTCTCTGCATCCCTACCAGCCCTGTTTTGTAAAAACTTTTAACTTTGAAGTAATTAGAGATTCATAAGAAGTTGCAAAGTTAGTTTAGAAGTCCTGTGTATCCTCTGTCCAGTTTCCCTCAGTGGTTGCATCCTATGTATCTATAGCAAAACCAGGAAACTGACATGGGTCTAATATGTGTGTATAGTTTCTTGCCATTTTATTACATTTCCTGCCATCTTATTTACTTACCTGTACTACTGTAATAGCCTCCACCCTCATCCCCTCTATCCTATTCCTCAGGGAGATCCATGGCTGTATGGCAATATGTGCATGCCTCTGTTACAGATCATCATGAATGATCTGAAATGCCACCTGATCTACTTTAGTCACTCAGCAAATACTCTTTGAGCACTATGTGCCCAGGCACTGTTCTGGGCCATGGGGATGCAGCAGTAAATGAAAGAGAAGTCCCTGCTGTTATGTAGCTTACATTCTCTTAGGGGAGACAGATAATAAATGTAAATATATATATGTCAGGTGGTGATAAAATAAGGCAGGGAAGGGATTAGAGGATGAATGGAGCCTCTTTTAGATATAGAAGAGCAGTCCTTCTGGAAGAGTTGCCCTTTGTGCAGAAACTGAAGGAATGAGGGAAGGAGTTGTGCAACAATCTAGGGGAAGAATGACCCAGGGAGAAGGAGTAGCACCAGCAAAGGCCCTGGGGCAGGTATGAGGAATAAGAAGGTCATTGTGGCTAGAGCACAGGGACGTGGTGAGAGGGTAGGAGAGGAGGGGAAAGAGGTAGCAGGGAGCCAGTCATGTTAAGCCTTTGTATGGCACAGTAAGATCCTTGATTTTTTTTTTTTTTTCTAAATATGGGTAACATAAAATTTACCTTTTTTTTTTTAAGGTATACTTTTTGGTGAGGAAGATTGACCCTGAGCTAACATCTGTTGTCAATCTTCCTCTTTTTCTTTTTTTCCCCCTCTCCAAAGCCCCAGCACATAGTTGTATATCTTAGTTGTAAGTCATTCTAGTTCTTCTGTGTGGGATGCTGCCACAATATGGCTTGATGAGCAGTGTATAGGTCCATGCCCAGGATCCGAACTGGCAAACCCCGGGCTGCTGAAGCAGAGCATGCGAACTTAACCACTTGGCCATGGGGTCAGCCCCCAAATTTATCATTTTTAAATGTACAGTTCAGTGGTGTTAAGTACATTCACATTGTTGTGCAACCATCACCACCAACCATCTCCAGAACTTTTTTTTTCTTCCCAAACTGAAATTCCACAACTGTTAAATGATAACTCCTCATCCTTGCCTTCCCCCACCCCTGGCAACCATGGCCCTTAATTCTTCTGAGTGAGATGGGAAGGCATTGGAGGGTTTTGAGTGAAGGAGTAACACCCATTATGTAGTAAGGGATGGGATTTATTTATATTATCTCATTTCATATTTACAACAACCCTGTGAAGATAGTAATAGCTCACAGTTACAGAGCACCTTTTATATATCAAGGCACTATTCTAAGTACTTTTCAAATAGAGCTCATTTAATTGTCACAACAACCCTATGGGGTAATTATGATTATCCTCATTTGACATATAAGGAAACTTACATGCAAAGAGATTAAATAACTTGCCTACATTCATAGAGTTAGTAAGTGGTGGTCAGGCTATCTGACTTAACCACAATATTTTACTTCCTCTCTACAAAGGAGGTATTCTTATATGGGACAAAGATGATATGTAACATGCTCAAATGCACACAGTGGGGAGAGTGCATGGCAGAGCTGGAGTTCAAATCCAGGTCTATGTGCCCCTGTTGCTTCCTCCACCTTGTGAAATCCAGCCCCTCAACATGGCCTGCAGGCCTCCAACCCAGCTCCCCCATGTACCCAGTCATGCCTCACCTCTGCCTTCGCTCTTGCTGTTCCATTTGCCTGAGTCAGCCTTGCCTTGTCCTAGTCATTGCTGGGAAGCCTTTCTTGATGCTCTAAAACTAGCACAGTGGCCTGTCTTTGCTCCTATTGCCCACTGGACTCAATACTGTTAGCATTTGTTCAGTTATTCATGGCTAGCATGCCAGTTAAATATTTTTAATTAAAAAATTTTTAAGAACTTTTCATTTTGAAATAATTTCATACTTAAGAAGTTACCAAAGTAGTACAAAGCAATCTTGTATACTCTTTACCTAGATTTCCCAAATGTTAACATTTTACCATGTTTATGTTAGCATCCTTGTTCTCTCTCCATCTCTCTCTCTATATATGTAGAGAGAGAGAGTATGTATATGTGTGTTTGTGTGTTTGTGTGTGTGTGATCCATTTGAGCATAGGTTGCACATGTGATGTCTCTTTAACCCTAAAACTTCAGTATGTTTATTTCCTATATACAGGACATTCTTTTAGAAATCCACAATATAATTATCAAAATCAGGAAATTAATATTGATACAGTATTCTATAGACCTCATTCAAATTTTTCCAGTTGTCTTTATAGAAAAACAAAATCCAGTGCAAGATCCAACTCAGGATCACATGTGGCATTTAGTTGTCGTGCCTCTTTTGTCTCGTAATCTGGAATACTTCCTTGTCCATGACATTGATATTTTTGAAGTGTATGGGCCAGCTATTTTGTAGAGTGTCCCTCAGTTTGGGTTTGTTGGCTATTTCCTCGTGATTAGATTCAGGTTATGCATTTTTGATGGGAATTCTACAGAAGTGATGCCATATCCTCAGTATATCACCTCCTAAGGTACATGATATCCAGTTAAATATTTTGAGTGTCCACCCTGCTGCCTGTCTCCCCAACAGGCCATGAGTTCTTGAGGACCCTAGCCCACCTTGATTTTCTCCAGCTCTACTGATAACCTCCCCCACCCCTCCAATCTCTTTGTAGCTTCTTTGGTTTCTATGATGCAAATGAGACGGTCTTGGAGATGGAGGAACAACTGGTGAGCCTCCTGGGATTTCTTCCCCTGTCTTCCTGCACTGTCCCACCTCCGGCTGTAACCCTCCCTGCCACTGACCCATGAGCTGAAAGCTTCACCCTGTGGGAAGTGGGCCTGGGGCACCAGCAGGAACTCACTTTTTCTCTCCCTGTGTCTTTCTTCCATGCCCCTTCACCCACCTCGAAGGTTTATCTGCGAGATTCCTTTGGGTTGAAGACTCTCTTGGCCCGTGGGGCCATAGTGAGGTGTCCGATGGCTGGGATCTCCCACACAGCCTGGCACTCCAACCGCACTCTTTATGAGACCTGCATTGAACCTTGGCTCTCCTGAGGATGTCCCCAGGATCCCCCAGGATCTCCCTGGCCCAGAGACCAAGTGGTGGCCTTGGAAAGCAGATGTCAGGCTCTGGTGTGCCTGTGACCACCTCATTGCTCCCACACTGCCCCCACCAACCAGGGCTCCCAGGAACCCCCTCCTCTGCTCCTCCATGAATGACAAATCCTGGTCTCCCCACCTCATATCCTCTCATTTGGGGGTTGCTCCATGCTCTCCTATCTTCCCAAGGCCTAGGTTGGGAAGTGAGAAACCAGGTTTTTAACTTGTGGCTGCTCCTGCTGCTGCTGCTGCTCCTCCGTCTCTGGCTATACAGGAGGAGAACTCAGCCCCTGCCTATCACAGGGGTCTCCTTCCAGGCCACTCAGGACATTTTTAGCTTCTATTCTTCCATGTTCCCTTTTCCTCTGAACTCCCCTGTCGTTAGCCCTCCCAACCCCCAGGAAGGGACTACCCATTTGAGGGGTTCTGAGGCTCCCCTATGGGGACAGTTCCATCCTTGAAGTGTCAGTGTTGGGGAATATCTGTGGCCTGTGAGGCCCATCTCAGGTTTGGGGATCCCCCAGTCCCTATGTTTAGTGTTGGGGTACCCCCTGGGAGCCTAGTTTCTTTGAGGCCCCAGCCCCTCTTTTAGCTAACCTTGAATGGGTGTTACCCCTGTATTTATGGAAATAAAGTTCCATTTCCTCAGTGTGGCTTGGCTCATTTCCAGGTGAGGGGGACCTGGCTCCCCAAGGAGGGTGAGGTTGGAGAGCCTGAGGCCTGGGTACCCGGATGCCTGGTGTGGGGTGGGACCCCCTTGGTGTTTCCGCTCTCTCAATGCCCATTCTGTGTGGGTTCCTGATTCTCTGCGGGTTCTTTCCTGCTGAGGACAATTCTCTTCCTGTCTCTGCCTAAGATTGGGGGGCTGAGCCCAGGGCTCCATTGGTTTGTGCCCAAGCCTCATGGGTGGAATGTCTGTGCCACCCCAAGGCTAGACAGGGGGCTAAGGGTCAGGGTGGGCATTTGTTGGGCCCCTTTTTGACCTTTGCAGACCAGAGCTGGGTGAGGGGCTGGACAATGAGCCTCCTCTTCCTTGAAAGAAGGAATTTTGGTGGAGACAATAGAGCCCTGTCTGCTCTGGCATGGGGGGTGGTAGCTGACTCAACTCTGCTCCCCCTAGGCCCTAACAAATGTCATCAAGAAATGGGGGCAATCTTTCCCTAGTGCCCTGGGCTGCCTGCCCTGCCCCTTTGTGACGACTTGCCCTTCTTTTTTCCCCCAGCTGATCTTGCCTCTTCTCCCATGACCTGACCCCTTTGTTCTTTGCCAGCTCCGTCTCTCTCCTTGCCCCTCAATCCTCCCCTAGTCTGTGTTGGGTTGACGTGGGAGGCGAGGGCCAGGGGGTACTGGTGGTGTTACAGAGCCAGTAACCTCTGCTGATTTGGGGGGTCCTGAAATAAGGGGCCCCCGAGGGTTGGGAAGATACTTCTGGGGGCCCTTTGCTGGGGGGGGGGGTGAGGGTAGTGGGAGTTGGACCCACTGAGCTCACCAAGCTGGAGCCCTGGAGGTGGCTTGTGGGAGGGGGCAGGAATGGGAGGACTCTGTCTGGCCCGGCCCCTCCTCTCCCTTGCAGCCTGCCCAGCCCGCCCACCAGTCTGAGCTGCTGCTGCTGAGGCTAGTCTGCCTGAAGTCTCCGGGAGAGAGGGAAAGAGGTGGGGAGAGAATGTCAGTGGGGAAAGAGTGGGTGTCAATCAGAGCCTTGGAGGCAATGTGAGTTGGGGGGTGTTGGTTTGAGGGTGTGGGTCCGGGACGTGAGGGTAGTAGGAATGTGTTTAAGGTGTGGAGGTTCCAGGTATGTGGGTTTGTGTGCAAGGTGTGAGGGGGTGTAATGGTGACCATCTGAGGTTTTGAAGGTAGGAAGATTAAGAAGAGGGCATGTCAGAGATAAGAGGGTCATGAGGGGAGGGTTAACTGTGTGTAGAGAGGATTGGGTTTAGATAGGTTGGAGGAGAGGTGCGAGCAGTGTGTCAGAGTGTGGGCTTGTATGATGCCGCATGGACCATGATGTGCTAAAGTGTTAGTTAAATGTGTTAGTTAAATGTACATGCAGGTGTAGACAATCCTGGTGTCTAGAGCAAGTGTGTACAAATGAACATCCTGCTCTCCTTAGAGGGCACCAGCAGACTGCTCTTGGAGGGCTGGAGCTGGAGAATTTAATAGGAGAGGGGAAGGGCCTCCAATAACCTCTTCTTGCCCGCAGCTGGCAGAGTCTGGTGTCAAGGAGAATCATGGGGTCCAGGGCTGAGCTGTGCACTCTCTTAGGCGGACTTTCATTCCTCCTGCTATTGATGTCTGGCGAGGGGGCCAAGGGTGGATCCTTCAAAGAGAGGTGACAACAGAAGGGGCGGGGCCAGGGGTGAGGTCTTCAGGAAACCTGCTGGGGTGGGGCTTCACAGGTGGCAAAACAAAGTTAGAAGTTTAGAATGGGGGTGAGACTGTCACCTTGAGGGACTGGGGGGCCTCAGTGGACCCTTGAGGGAAGTGGGACTTCTGGCTCCCCAGGGCCTGGCCCACTCAGTGTCTCCCACCTTCTCCCACATGGGTGCAGTCAGGGAGTCTGCTCCAAGCAGATGCTGGTGGTCCCACTCCGTTACAATGAGTCCTACAGCCAACCGGTGTATAAGCCCTACCTGACTCTGTGCGCTGGAAGGCGTGTCTGCAGTACCTACAGGTGAGGGATGGGAGCCTGCACCCTGAGGTCTCTCAGGAGGAACCCCAATAACCCTGACCAGGACGCATATGCAAATGTCCAGAGCTGGGCGCTGTGTTCCAGGACCACTTACCATGTGGCGTGGCGGGAGGTGAGGAGAGAGGTGCAGCAGACCCACATCGTGTGCTGCCAGGGCTGGAAGAAGCGGCATCCGGGAGCGCTCACCTGTGATGAAGGTGAGGCTGGGTCTTCCCAGCCTCTCGGGAGAAGCACTGGGTGAGGCTGGGGAGCCAGGCTGTGGTCCTGTAATGAACCCCCTTCCTGCGCCCGCAGCCATCTGCGCCAAGCCCTGCCTGAACCGAGGCGTCTGCGTCCGGCCAGACCAGTGCGAGTGCGCCCCTGGCTGGGGTGGGAAGCACTGTCATGTGGGTGAGTTAGCTGGCCCTCCCCTAGCGGTGGTGCCGGGACCTCCCTACCCACCGGGGCTCCTGCCCCCGTCCCACCCCCTCAGCCCCCTCCTCTTTCCGGTAACTAGACGTGGATGAATGCAGGACTGGCATCTCCCTCTGCTCGCACCGTTGCCTCAACACAGCAGGCAGCTTCACCTGTGGCTGCCCCCATGGCTTGGTGCTGGGCCCAGATGGGCGCACCTGTGCAGAGGGGTCCCCAGAGCCCCCAACCAGTGGCAGTATCCTCAGTGTGGCTGGTGAGCAGCCGGGAGTATGGGCAGCGGGGAAGCCTTGGGCTGCAGCAGGGCCCGGGCTCTGGTTATGTTCTCCTTTGTCCCAGTTCGGGAAGTGGAACAGGATGAGCACGCCCTGAGGCAGGAGATGCAAGAGCTGCGAGGGCGCCTGGAGCAGCTGGAGCAGGTGGGTGGAGGCACCTGTGGCCAGGCCTACAGGGCAGGGTGCGCCCCATTCCCCAACACCCTGAGGCTTCTTTCTTTGTAGTGGGCTGGGCAGGTAGGGGCCTGGGTCCGAGCTGTGCTGCCCGTGCCACCGGAAGACCTGCAGCCCGAACAGGTGGCAGAGCTGTGGGGCCGGGGCGACAGGATTGAGTCTCTCAGTGACCAGGTGCTGCTGCTGGAGGAGAGGCTAGGCGCCTGTGAGTCCCCATCCCCCAATAACTGCCCCCAGCTTTTCCTGACACCTTTCTCCAATTCAGTTTTCTTTTCCTGAAACCCTTCCCCCATCACTCTCTCCTCATACCTTCCCCAGATATCCGCACTTCATCACCCTTTCTTGTACCCTGTCCCCAACCCAGTGGTTCCATTTATTCTTGGTGCCCACGGTCCACTCCAGGCCGGAGGCAGCCCCGGAGGTCCACTGCCAACGTGTCTGCCCATCTCCTTGTCATTAACCAGGCTCCTGTGAGGACAACAGCCTGGGCCCAGGCCTCAATCGGCGAAGATAAGGAACCTCTGCAGAGCCCCTGCCCCCTAATTTATACAGAAACTAGACCCACTAATCCTCTGGGATTGGCTGCTGGGGGAGCTGCAGATAAGGTTAGCTGTCACTAAGGAGCAATGAGCAATGGAAACTTCGGAGAACTGAAGAAGGGGAAGGAAGGTTGTCTTGGCCCGTGTCCCTGAGTCTTCCGGCTGGGGCAGAGCCCCTGGGCGAGAACTGCTTCTTCAACTCCTTAACAAATGCAGCCAGAGAGTGCCCAGATCTCTCTCTCAATCTTTATTCTTGGTTTCTTGCTGTTAGCCAGATAATTAATAAAAACCAACCACGCAAAACTGGCTCCCACCCTCTCCTTTTGCTCCAGCCCACCTCCCCGGTTGTGGGCACACGTCTGGGTGGGAGGCAGGGAGAGGCTAATGCCACAGGGAGGAAATGAAAACTGGCTCAGAGAGGGGCAGCCTCAAAAGAAAGAAAAATAAATTAAAAGCCCTCCCATCCCCTCCAGCCAGGGTTCAGTTCCTTTTCCCAACTCCCCAAGGAGCAGAAGTGAGTGCAGCACCTGAGGTCTGCCTCTCCCCTTGTGTCTGCTTAGAATGGTACAGCAGGGCTGCAGGGGGCTGGGTGTGGCCAGGACCACTGAAGAACTGTACCACGGGGATAGGAGAAAGCAGAAATATGGACCAAACTGGCATCCAAGAGTGTGCTCAACCCTGGGCACCTGGGCATGGGCAGGGATGAGACCTCTGAGTGAGAAGAGTCCAGCCTCCACTGACAGGAGGCTCCAGGGGAGGGAGGGTGAAGGTGCCGAGGATGAGCCTGGGAGGATTGTTCCAGGCGTCAGCTTCCAGCCGCAGCATGAGTCTTCCTCCTCACAAACGATTGAGTCCATTGAATCCATGGACTTGGGGTCGGGGGGATTGTTCCATAGAATGTAGGGTAGAGAAGGAGAGAAGACCACAGAGGAAGAGGGGACACTGGGGACAGGATGAAGTGTTCCCACCGTTGTGTAGGCTGAGCCACTGGAGATGAAGGGGAGACAACCGTTTCACAGACAAGATGGCACAGGAGGTGAAGGTCAGAGTGGAGACTGCACCGAGGCAAGAGAGTCTGTAGGGGGAACTGGGCAGGGGCAGGGAGCGGTGCTGTTTCCACATTCACTTCAGAAGTTCAGAAGTTGAAGATTCCAAAGAGGAGAACAAATGGGGAGAAGGAAAACAGGGAAGAGGGCTTGGCCCTGCTTTAGGGCCCATGGGGCTGATGGTGTGGGGAGGAACGTAGGGGTAGATGGGAGGGGAACTCAGAGCGGGGCCTCGCCCATCCCTCCAGGCTTCTTCAGATAGTCACCACCACCCCGGCCATCAGTGGAGATTTCCCGGAAAATGGTCAGCATGGAGTGCCGGACTCTGTCAGCCAGAGCTGGAACGTCATCTGGTGTCAGCCCTTCTGTGGGCACTGGGGGCAGCACCCGTACCTGACATCGCCCTGGATGGGGGTTGAGCACCATCACAACCTGTCTACCCAGCCCTCTGCCCACAGGCGGGGCCCAGTTGCTGAGCTCTCCTGCTACTCCGCTCCTTAACCTTTCAGCTCTCTTCCCCCTACCCTGGACAACTGCTCCTCGGCTTACCAGCTGCCACCTGTTCTCTGAGGCCCTCCTGCACAAAGCCTTCCCCAAGCCCCAGTCCGGACACTTCCTCAGCACCCTTCCAGCCCCCATTGTTTAGGTTTAGCATTTACTGCCAAGTGTGACTCATTATAACTTTGCACACACAGATGTTAGCTTTCCCACCAGACAGTAATGGTTCCTCCTGGAGGCACCAAGTGTTAACCACCTAGCAGAGTATGGCAGGTGCTTAATAAATACTTATTGACTTATGGGGGGGGGGGCCACACTAGATGATCCTGTGGATATCTCACAGTTCTGACACTGACTGATCCTCCTGCCTTATGGCCATGTCCCTCTAGCCTCTCCCATGGCCTTTTTGGCCACTCCCAACCCTGGATCTTCTCCGAGCCCTCACCCGAAGTGAAGCGGCGCTCCTTCTTGCAGTAGAAGTCTTGATAGGAGGACATGACTATGGGGACAATGGGAACCTGGGGAAGGGGAAAAGTGGATCAGCCCACTGCTCCCTCCTGAGACCCCAAGACAAGCCTCTGCTAAGAGAGGAAAGGATGGTGGGGGGCTGGGGGCTCAGCAGCAGAAGGGGAGGTAGTAACCACCTGGGCCTGCACTGCAAGGTGGAAGGCGCCGCGTTTGAAGGGCAGCATGGAGCCATTGTGGTTTCTTGTGCCCTCGGGGAAAACCCAGACCCGGACCTGGGGAAGAAAGAGGGTCAAGGAAGACACACACATATGGAGTGGTCAGAAAAGGGTGTGGTGCTATAATGGGACCTCTGAGGCCCATTGGCCCTGCATATCAGTTTATTTACAACTGTTCGACTCTATAACCCCCCATCCCCATTTCCCCAGGGTGACTCACGTCCTGGGTAAGCAGTGTCTGGGCAACCTCAGACATGACACTGATGGCATCCCCAGTGCGCTTCCGGTCGATGAAGATGACTCCTGCCAGCCAGCAGGCCAGACCAGCAGAGCCAGCCCACAGTAGCTCACGCTTGGCAATGGGCACGCAGCGGCCCGGCAGAACCTCCATCATCCCTTGGGCAGAGGTGGGGGTAGGGTGAGGATCAGGGTGAAGGCAGAGTGTCACAGGAGGCAGCCCACTTTGCCCAGGTCATCACTCACACCACTAGGGACTAGAGATAAAGGAGGAGGGAAACCTGGGGAGGGGGCAGGGAAGCCCCGAGTGGAGGAAAGGGTGCCTAAAGGTATATAACCCTGCTTAGGAGGGCAGCTGTGCCCCAGGGAAAAAAGGCCTGGAAAGGGAGCAAAGGGGCAATATCCCAGATGAGGGGGAGTTAAAGATCTCTAGGGGAGGAGATTCTGGGGAAGGTTTCAGGAGGAAGGGCATGGCAGGGGGAGGTGTGCCCTATGGAGGGGTCTCACCAAGCAGGTCGAGGGAGCTCTGGTGGTTGGAGACAACGACGTAGGGTTGTGAGGGAGGGAAGTGGTGAGCCCCTCGCACCTCCACTCGGATCCCGTACAGGTATTTGATGTGGAGCAGCATCAGACGCAAGATCCTGTGGGGTCATGGCAAGGGGTTCTGGCAAGATCCCCTGATGTCCCCTGTATGCTTCAGCTCCCCCTACCCTACTGTCCTTCTGGAGATCCTTGCGGTCCTCTCCCCTTCCTTGTCCCTGGGCTTTCTCAATCTCTCCTACACACTCCATGCCCTCCCCATTTACTGCTAACTTCTGACCCTTAGGTTCCCTCATCACCCAGCAACCCTTGCCCCTCACTTCATGTTCTCGACGTTGCGTCCTCGCACGGCACACACAGGGATGGCGAGCACAGCCAGAAAGAGGATCCAGCCATTGTAGAAGGCCATCTTGAAGAAGTACTTGGCACTGGGGCTGCAGAACCACAGGGTAGGCAGCAGGAAGAGCAGCAGCAGGAAGAGCAGCAGCAGTACCGTCCACGCCCCTGGCCACAGCTCCATTCTGGCCACCTGCAAGGGACCAGGCAAGGGAGAGTGGGCCTGGTTCCTGGAAGGAAGCAGGGCAGGCAAGGTGTAGAAGGCAGAATTTGGGGGCCTATGAGGACAAGATCCAGAGACACAGGATGGGGTCAGTGCTCCCATTGAAACCTGCCCAGGAAGGCTCTCTAGGAAGGGAGTGGTGGGGATGGGAGCTTAGGATTGCTCTTTCACCCTTTTCCAGATATATTCAGACAGACAAGAGACACAAGACATGGACATCCAGGATCCACGACTAGAATATACAACTATGTACTGGGGGGATTTGGGGAGAAAAAAGCAGAAAAAAAAAAAGACATGGACATCCACAACTCACAGATACATGATAATAAAAAGACAATATAATGATAGCTAACACTTGTAGCTGGTAAGGGTCTTATGATGGTCTATACCTGTGCTATCTACTATGGTAGCCACCAGCCACATGTGGCTACTAAACACTTGAAATGTGGCCTAGTCCGAACAGAGAGGTGTTGGAAGTGTAAAATACACATCAGACTTCAAAGACTTTGAATGAAAAACAGAATGTAAAATATCCCTTTACTAATATTTTATATTGATTACATTTTGAAATCATAAATTGGAGATACTGGGTTCAATAGAATATATTATTAAAATTAATTTCACCCAGTAACTTTTATTCTTTTTTGATGTAGCTACCAGAAAATTAAAAATGACATATGTGGCTCACATTATAATTCTGTTGGACAGGCCTGGTCTATATACTATGTTAAACACTTAAATATGATCCATACAACTTACATTTTATAGGAAATAGGCCCAGAGCAGTTAAATAACTTATCTGAGCTCCTAATAGGCAGTTCCTAGCTTAACCCCGGCAGCTTGTGCTCCTAACCACCTGGTCACACTGTCGCTTGTATTTATATATGTATGAGTACACACAGCAGACACAGTGACAGTGACAAAACACCCACAGACATTCTCAAGGGCTCACTGGCAAGAATAAAGGCTTTGTCACCAAGGCAAACACAGACATACACAGTCATACAAAGACTGACCTATTCACACACACACACAAATCTACAATCATATCCAGTGACAGATAAAGGAAGATACACGCATACCCAGAAAAACCCCTCTACCCAGGCAGCCACCCCTGTTCCCAGATAAACCCATGCACATACCAGGAGTAGCTACAGCTACCAATCCTGCCTCCACAGGCAGGCAAAAAAATCCTACAGCTCCCTTCTCTCCCTTCCAACAACACCGGAAGCAATTTGGTCAGGCAGATACTGTGTGTGAGGCCTCAACAAGTGAAAAAATGAGGGCAGAGAGTAAAAGGGACATAACACCACCTGCCCTGGGAGAGCAACGAGCTCAGGAGGAAGAGGTGCAGTCATGCAGGAACCAGCCTTCTCGGCTCTTCCTCCTTCCTCCACTCTGCCCCACTGCTGGGGGCAGGCTCCCAATCACAAAAGGGGTGTTCTGGCAAATACCTGTCAATCTCAGCAAGGCCACAGGTACTCCCTTCCAATGACAGGAAGGTCTGTGCTCAAAGGTAAGCTCACTGCCAAGGGTGAAGGTAACAGGCAACCGAGGAAACAGGAGCCCCTGCCAGCTCTGAAGCAGTCAGCTTTCTGGGCTGCTCCATCCCACTGCCCTGGCAAGTTCACAACAGCGCCTATCTCTTCCCCTCCAACCCCTCTTCCACACAGCAACCATAGAGATTTTTCTGTAACACAAATCTGAGCATTTCCTTGTCTTGCCTAAAGGCCCTTCTTGATAAGTTGACTTCTGCTTACGCCTTTGGCCGCATCCCCACAAAAGCTTTTTTTGCTTCGGTTCCTTAGACACCCTGTGATCTGTCATGCTTCTGTGCCGTGACGTGCTGTTCCCTTTGGCTGGAACGCTCTTCCGCCTCTTCTTCTCTTGCTTCACACAGCTCAGTGTCACTTTTTGGAAGTCTTCCTGAATTCCCTGGAGCCTGAGTTTTCTTTACAATTTTATCTTGACTACAAGTTCTCAAAGTGTAGAAATGAGAATTCTTGGACCTCATCCAGATCTCCTGAATCAGGAATTCACTAATCTGTAGTTTAACAAGCCCTCCAGGTGAGTCTGATGTGCACATGAGTTTGTAAACCACTGATCTTGACACCATATTGTGTGTACCTGCTCTCTGACATTTTTGTTTCCCTTCCTAGTCTGTAAGCACCTTGAGGACAGGGACTCTATCTTATCCCCAATGCCCAGGAAAGGAGGAGGCAGAGAAAGCGCTCAACAAACATTTGCTGGACAGATTATAAGGCTGGATACATATCCACACTGCCATAATTAATGACATATATCTGATCACGAATCAGATAGCCACCCTCTTGAGGACTATTAACTACTATTAACTATGAAAAGAAAAGGCACCAGGAAAGCAATGAACACACCAAGCCTAATAGTAACTTACTCTGAATATACACATAGAATACACGGCCACGGTGAAGGCAGTGACAACAATCAAGAAAGGACCTACCATCTCCCCAACAAGAGAAACATACAGAATGGGGATCAACATGCCACAGGGGAAAGATGCTACTGTCATCAAATACATGCCAACAGTGCAGGGTCAGGGACAGATAATGTGCATGGCAGGACTGCCCTGTGGCATGCATTGAGCTCCATGGACACAGACACCGGAGAGATAATGTGCATGAAGAGACACAGGCCAGAGAGATCAGCAAAGTAAGGCATATGGGATGGTTCTTTGGGGACTCAGAGGCCCAGTTACTTTCTTTACTGCATGCTGTAAAGTGACCCTCTCCAGAGCAGAAATGTCCAAGGATTTATAAACACAATGGAGTGCCAAATCGGTTAATGAGCACAGGGCTCACAAAATATACTGCCAACAAAATTAGGACATATGTATTATCTGTAATGAGAAGCACACATGCTATGGTTGTGTCACATCAGTGCATCATGCAAAGTCACAGGCTTATTTGTGGTGTGAACCGTGACTGTGAAACACATACAGCAAAGAGGCCAATCCCATCACAACATGAGTGTGTGCTAGTCCGTGAAGTCACAGGATCCCACCCATGAAGAGTACTGTATACAGCAGGACCATGGACATAACACGTGAGCCGAAACAAGATAAGGTAGTCTTTACACACTAAAGTAAACATGCATAAACATAAAACGTGCAAGAAACATGAAACCACATAATAGATGCAATATATGAAAACTCACACACTTGAACATGTCAAGACTGGACACGAGACATAAACATAACATGAGAATGAGCAATTCTGATGGAAAATAACATGATTTCTCCACAGCTCATGGATAGCAGAGGGATAACCTAGCCACACACAAGCCATTAAACATGTCAAAGGCACACCGACTCAGTGCAGAAAACATGGCCCCCACAAGGTATCTGTGTGTTAGTAAGGGTCTAGCACAGTGTGGAAGGCCACTGAGAAATAAGAGGTCCTGTGGCTAGCTGGAAATAGAGGTGTCTCAAGGCATTCCTAGGAAGCAAATTCTGTTGGGGAAAGGAGGGCAATAAACCGCCTTCTCCCCACCACAACCCCCCAAGAGTCAGTGGGGCCAAAGGACAAGAAAGGAATTGAGGAAGGTGTGGAGAATTCCCTCTCCAGGATTCTCTGTCCACACCCCCATCCCAAATTCAGAGTCTCCATCACTCCTCCCTCTTGTGTTTCTCCCATCCTTCCTCCCTCTCAGGCCCCCTTCTCCTTTCCCCAGCAACCCTCTCCCCAGTCAGCCTCATCCTTTTCCTAGCAACATCCTCTCCCCAGTCCGCCCTCCCAGACCCAATCTCTCCCCCATCCCCACCTCCACGTCCCTTTCAGCACCCTCCGCCCTCCTCCTCCCATCCCTTTCCCGCCCCCACCTCAGTGGGGTGGGGAGCCTGGGGGGCTGGCCCCCTCCCCAGCCAGGCTGCGGCAGCGGTGTTGGCGGGTGGCTGTGTCTCTGCCTCGGTCGGGGTGTCGGTGCCAAGGGGGCGACAGGATTTGGGGGTGTCCTAGCCCCGGCCGATGGAGGGGAGGTGAGAGTGGGAGGCTGGGCCCATAGCGGTAGGAACGGTGGGGGTTTGTCCCCCTAGCTCCCTCCCTCCCTCCCTCCCTTCCTGCTGTCTCTCTGAGGGCTGGGTCTGCTGCTGCCGCTATCCCCCCACCCCTCCCCACGCCTGCAGGTTTCCGGGGCTGGCCAGGAAGTAGGGGGCGGTGATAGGCGGCTTATTCTGCCAATCGCCTCCCAGGGTCCCAGGCATCTTCTCACTTCTATCAGTCTCCTTTCGCTAGCTCCGCCCCACGAGAGCTCAGCTGGACTCAGCCTCTGTCTCTGGCCCTTTCTGGCTTCAGCTGCATGTTTTTTTCTCCAACTCCCTTTGGCCACACATGGCTTGAGTGTCCCTTGGTGCTTTATTCCTTCCTCGGCCCATTCCTTCTCCTCTTTCTCCATCAGCTCTCCTCTTGCTGCCACTTTTACTTGGTTTCTTCTGTTAACTCCCCTATCTGCTGCTTCCCTCCAACTCTTCTCCCAGACCCCCTTTCCTGTCCCCCGTTCATTTCCAAATATTTATCAAGCACCCACTATATGCCAAACACTGAGTTCTTCACCTCTCATCTTTTTCTCTCCAGGACCCCATCTTGCCCACCTTACCCTCCAGCCCTCTTGTCTGGTCTCTTTGCCCTTTGCCCCCGCCACTAGCTCCCAGCAGTCCAGGTCTCCCCTCCCCCTCTCTGATCTTTAAAGGGAAGGTTTACTCTCAGGCCCTCTCCCTGCCCCTGTCCTTCCATGCTTTTTGACCTAAGTACTTTTTCCTTCCTAGTTCCTTCCTATCAGTCTCCTTAGTCACCCAAGCTGAGACAACCCCTCTCCCCGACATAGAATTTGGTTGCATCTTTTCTTCCAATATAAATTGGGTATTAGCGTTGCTTCCTTGGAAAAAAAAGTGAGGAAGAATGCTCATCCCCCATGAGCATGCCTCCTTATTTTGTAGCCATGTATTAGCTCCCTTTCCAGCCCGTTCCCCTCTTCCCCATACTCGCATTATCGTTTTACCAGGACCATTCACCTCTCCCTCTCAGTGACTTTTTTCCTAAAACTCCTCAGGTCTCCTGAACCCTCACCTCCCCAGCCCTCCTATAGGCAACTCTCAACTTCTCATCTCGCCTCACTTGAGTCTGGTGGGGCCTTTTATCAGGGTGTTGCTGACCAGCCCTCAGTCTGTGGCTGCGCCCCGCCCCCGGGCACACCTTTGCTCTGCGAGTTTACGGGCCCTGAGGGAGAGAATGTAAAGAACACTGGGAGTGGGAGGACTGTTACCTAGTTCTGCTCCTTGGGCCACAGTGAAGGTCACTGACTGCAGAAAAGGCCCAGACTCGTACGAAAGGCTCAAGCTCTGAAGCAGCTTGCTCAAGTCCCAGGGGTCCAGCCCAGGAGGAAGACCCCAGTTCTGCTGGGCACAAGAAAGGGGCGGGTCTAACCCCATTCCGCTTGCGGGTCGCCTAGAAAGGGGCGGGCCTTGCCCTTTCTGCACCCACTCACAAAGGGGTGGTGCTAGACCTTTTCAGCTCTTAAGGTTTAAAACGGAGTCGAGGCCAACTCTGTTCTGTGTCACATTAAAAAGGGGGTGGGCCTTCCGTTCAGTTGTGCTCTGTAAATCACCTAAAGAGGGGAGGGCTGAGTCGTCCAGCCGAGGGAGAGAGGTTAACACCAGCGCCGCAGATCGATGCTCGCACCATTCAAACGTCGGGCTAATCCCAGTTCTGCTCCTTTTTTCACTGAGAGGGAAGGGCGGACCCAAATTCTGCTCTCTACGTCTCGAAAGAAGGCAGGAGCCATTTTGAACCCTGCGACCCTAGTATTTGCCCACTTTTCCCAGCTCTCCTCCGTCTTTCCCGATCCTGGCCAATGAGGGGCGAAAGAAATGGCCCAATCAGCCGAGAGAGACCACAGCCGGAAGACCCGGATGAGGCCGAACCGAGGCCTTTGAACCCCAAACCCCGCCAATTGTAAAGCAGTCACGAGGGCGACAAGATAAAGGTGAAGGGGTAGGACCAGAGAAGGTTCAACCCTTCTAGGATTGGCCCACCCCTTCCCGCCGCCCGCTGCGCACGCGCATTTCACCCAACCACCATTTTCAGTCGAGTTCTAGCCAATCAATTGCTTTGAAGCCGTACGCTCCAAAGTCCAATAGGAATCTGGACATTCTTTGAAAGAGGAAGTGAAAGAAAGAAAGGGGCTTATAGAGGCCGAGGTTATGTAGTCCCGAACCAATTGCTTCTGGCCTTTGGTTATGACTGGCAGCTATTCAGACGAATAAAGCCGTTCCTGGTCGGGCGACAGGACGTATGGAGTTGTTACCAATCTCTTGGCATTACATCCTGGCTGCAGCTGAATCAGCCAATAGTCGTTGTGCAAGGGCAGGACCGCGCGAACTTCTTCCCGCCCCTATCCTTTGGACCAATCCTTTCTTTTGAACCCTGTGTAACTGGCAGCACTCAGGCCAATCGTGACTTAAAATCCTTGAAGTCTGCCCAACGAGCGTGGGCAGGAGGCGGCTTCTCGCTTGTCGGGGCGTGTGTATGTGTGTTTTGGGGGATTAAGGGGTACGCGGGGGCGAAACAGAACCGGCCATGGCAGCAGCGGAGGAGGAGGACGGGGTACCTGAAGGGCCAAACCGCGAGCGGGGCGGGGCGGGCGCGACCTTCGAATGTAATATATGTCTGGAGACTGCTCGGGAAGCTGTGGTCAGTGTGTGTGGCCACCTGTACTGGTGAGAATCGGGGAGGGGGGCCAAAAGGATTGGGGCTCACCTCCGTACTCGGGAGGCTGGGGACGGGGGGCACACCATACAATCATACACATAATCGGAGGCCAGATCCCTATAGGTGAGGCTCGAGGAGGGGACATAAGTCTTTTCAGTTGGGCAGAAGGGTCACGTCTGTAAAGACGAGACCTGTGGAAAGGCGAGTCTTAGGAGCTGGAGCGTATGGTGTGTTAAGACGAAGTGGGCCGGGAGTGGGTGGGCACTTCACATCTGTACAGGTAAGACCCGAGTCACCTTACCCTAGGGAAGCGAGAGGTCTTAGCTGTACAAGTGGAAACGGATTAGACTCAAAGGATAGGGGAGGCATGCACTGAGTGCTGACTGGGGGAGACCTAGGGAACGTGGGCTCACGTTCAGGTGAGAGATGGGAGGAGATATGGCAAACCTGAGGACAAGGGCCTTGATGGGTTAAACGGCTGTGCAAAGAAGGACTTTATTGGGCATGGAAGAGAGGAAAAGGAGTAGTCGGGGAAGGTGCTGGTAGAGGGATTTTGGTTTGAGACTGATGGGGGCAAGGATGGGACTGGGGGTGAAAGAGGAGATCTGAAAAGGGGTGGTTGAAGAGACCTGGAAATTAAAAGGCAGAGAAGGGAGGGCATGAGGATTTGTGAATGTGTGTGTTGGAGGAGAGGCGAGAGGAGAGAGTTGAGTGTTTTGAGGATGGATGTAGCTTTAGGTGTTGAAGATCAGAGAAGCAGGAAGGTCAAGTTGGCTGGCATGGTAGAGGTTGTGGAAAATAGGAAAAGAAACAGCAGGTAATACCTGGGAAGGGGGACGAAATGGGCCTCTGTAACGTCTGGTCTGTGTCTGTCTTTTCTGTAGCTAGTTTGACCTTTTTTTTTTTCTTCCCCCATCCAGTTGGCCCTGTCTTCATCAGGTGCGTACTCAGAGGAGATGAAGAGGGAAATGGGGAGGTCTGAGGAGCTGGAAGACCCTCCTGTGTACTGGAAACCACTTCATTTTTTCCCCCCAGTGGCTGGAGACACGGCCAGAGCGGCAGGAGTGCCCGGTGTGTAAAGCTGGGATCAGCAGGGAAAAGGTTGTCCCCCTTTATGGGCGAGGGAGCCAGAAGCCCCAGGATCCCAGGTGAGAGAGAGGAGGGAGATGGTGCTGAGGGAAGGTGGAAGGCTTCTGCACTGGGAGAGGGATGTGGAAGAGGAGAAAACATTTCCTGTTGACACTCCCTCTCTTCCTCAGATTGAAAACTCCACCTCGCCCCCAGGGCCAGCGACCGGCTCCAGAGAGCAGAGGGGTGAGTCTTGTCTGATTGTGTTCCTTCCTTGCCAAAGACTTGCCCAATTCCCCTCTGACTTTCTCCACCTCCCTAGGGATTCCAGCCATTTGGTGATACTGGGGGCTTTCACTTCTCATTTGGTGTTGGTGCTTTTCCCTTCGGCTTTTTCACCACCGTCTTCAATACCCACGAGCCATTCCGCCGGGGTACAGGTAAGAGCCTTCCCTCAGCCTCTACCAGGGAGCCCTCTGGATCCCCTCAAGCCCCCTCCCGGCCTAGGAGTGGATGCTTCTGCAGCTTTCCTCTCTCCCACAGGTGTGGATCTGGGACAGGGTCACCCGGCTTCCAGCTGGCAGGACTCCCTCTTCCTGTTTCTCGCCATCTTCTTCTTTTTCTGGCTGCTCAGTATTTGAGCTGTGTCTCCTTCCTGCCCACCTCCAGCCAGAGGAGAATCAGTATTGGGGGTCCCTGCTGACCCTTCCTTATTCCTGGACCCTCCCCCCAAGCCCCTCCATTTCTATTGGCTAAGGCCCACCCCAGCCACTCTCTAGGAGGGTGTGAGGAGGAGGAATGACATCTGTGCATAGGATGGGAGAACCTGCTCTGAACTGCTCACCCAGTAGCATCATAACTCCCAACTCTGGGAGAGGAGGACACACTGAAGAGAACGTTTGCTTCTCCTCTCACCTGATCTTTTGCTTTCCCCTAGATTTCTTGATTTGATGTTGAAAGGTGGGCAAGGCTCCCTCTGACTCTTCCCCTCTTTCCCTTTGTTGATTTAATTTAATTTTCCTCTCCCCAGTGTCTAATATGGGTTCTAACTCGAAGTGCTTCCTTTCCCTCACTACCTCCTTTATTACAAATTCAATAAACAAAGTGAGATATATTGATGGGAACTCTGCCCACCTTTGTCCTTCCCTGCTTCCTCCCAGGAAAGGAGCATCTTCTCCTCAACTTGAGTAGATGTTTGGTGTGGTGTGGGCAAGGTAAGGGTGAGCCCCTTTCCTTGAAGGCTCTCAAGGGTGCAGGGGGTCAGGGCATCACAGACACACACAAGAGCAAATCGGACAAAATGTGTCAGGTGTTTACTCATCACTGGGAGGCTCTGGTTGTGGAAGACAGTTTGGCGAGGTGGGGTAGAGTTTATACAGGGGAGAACTGGTCTGGGGCCAGAACATAGTGTGGGAAAAAGAAAAGGAAGCTGATGGATGGGGTCTGGTTGTGGGCCTCTCAAGGCCCTCCTGCACTGCTCTCGGCTGCCTCAGGCTCCTCTGACTGATTCAGCTCTGCACGCTCCTCCTCCTCCTCCTGGTGTTCTGGGACCTTCCTGGGGAGGAGTATTGGGGAGAATTCTGCACATGGTTTCTAGCACTCCGTCATTCCTCACCCATTTCCCTCCTTGCCGACTGGAAGCCCCAAGTCTGAGGTGTCTGCCTTCTCCACTCACCGCTCCTTTCCTCGTTGTTGCCTCCTTCGCCACATGATGGCGCCGATGAGCAGGGCGGCTGTCCCCAGGCCTCCTAGGATCCCCAGGGCCAGGGCTAGGGTTCCCAGCCCCGACCCACCCACAGAGCCTGTAGGGAGATGGGGAGAATTGAGGGCACAGCCCCACCACTCGCCATTCCTCTCTTGTTGACCATCCCCCAAGTTATGGTGGGGTCTGTCTGCTTCTCTCTGACCTTATCCAACCCCTCACCTGCAGTTGGCCCCTCCTCGCCTGTTTCTGGAAAACAAAGTGGGAGCAAGTCAGAAGGGAAGGCTTCAATTGGGAGAGGGCTATTTAGTGGGAGTCCCAGTGGAGTCCTGCCCTTTCTTCAGTTCGGAGGGGTGAGGGGACAGGCTGGGCTCCTCCCTTGGTAGGGTTTGGGTGGGGCAGAGGAGGCCTAGGTGTGGGTGCACTGTGGGAGGGGTGGGGTGGCTCTTGGGGACGATGCCAGAATGGGGTGGGGAATTGGAGCCTGCACTGTCCCTCAGCCCAGTCCCGGGGTCCCTGGGCTTTGGAGAGAGATCTCCTCACCAATGATGCTGATGCTGACAGCACGGCTTTCCTGGGGCCCGTGGCTGGGATGGGTGGCCACACAGCTGTAGGTGCCCTGGTCTTGAGGCCCTACGTCAGGGAGGAGCAGCACAGGGCTGGGGGGAAGGGGCAGGGGTGTGCCCTGGTGGGGGGAAGGGAACAGGAGACTGTTAGAGCTCCTGTCCACACATCACATACTCCTGTCCTTTTGTCTCTGCATCCTCAGATACCCTGTTTTCCTCCCCAGTTCCTTGCCTGCCTCTTTCTCCATGAACCTCCTGCCCACCTAGTTGCCAATTATGTATCTACCTCCCAGCCCCCTCTCTCCAGGTAACTCACGTCCTTGATCCAGTGGATTTGAGGAGGGGGCTGGGCAGGGGCTTCACAGGTCAGGGTCACAGTACTACCAGGAGCTACTGCTCCACCTTCTGGCTCCACCATCAACTGGACCTCCTTCAGAGGCACAGGCTCTGGAGGTGGGAAGGGGCATGAGGTTGAGTTACACCTGTGTGTGGTCCCAGTGGCCATGGGCTTAACCCTTCCCTCCCTGAGGGCCACACTTTCAGAATGTGCTCTTCCGAGCTTGGGGCCCTCCCCACCTCTGCCCTCACCCCAGACAGTAAGCTGGAAGGGAGCCGTGTGTAGGGCTCGGCGCCGGGGAAGGCTGGGGCTGAAGCTACAGGAGAAAGTGGGGCGGGGAGCACCCCCCCGGGCTGGGGTCACCATCAGCTCCGACTGGAGTGTGAAAAGCCCTGTCTCAGGGTGTCTCCTGGTCTCTTCCTTCACAGATGCTCCTATGGTGTGGGGAGGACAAGGTAAGACATCCCAGGGTAGGTGTGGGAAAGGGATCAGAAAGAAGGCAGCTAAGAGGGCAGACCTTGGACTTACCTTTCCCATCAGGTATCAGGGGTTTCCCATCCAAGTGCCAGCTAAGAGTCCCAGCAGGGTAGCTCCCCTCAGACACACATGTCCCCACCTAAGGAAAGAGTGATCTCATCATCTTTGAAAATAAGAGACTCCATACACATACACACAGCTACACTCCCCTCCCATGCTCAGGACCACTTTCTACTTCTCCCCCTTTCTCCCACTACCTTATTGGGGACACCAGCCGTGAGTTCAGAGGCAGGATCAACAATTTCTGGCTTCCCAGGAATCTCTGAAGGAGGGAAAAATCCAATCAGAGGCTGTGGCTTTGAAGATTCTCACACCGGGTATGGGAATGAGGGTAGCTGAAGTCAGAGGGTCTCACACCAGGGCCAGGGAGCCACTGGCTGGGGTTGAAGGCTTTTCCTTAGTTGAGGGGTGGGCCTTGGAGAAGACCCTGGAACCCTTACGGTAGACTCGGACTTGGTAGTTGGACTTGGTCTCCTTTCCATTCCTGCTTGTTGCCCGGCACCGGAAAGTCCCCTCATCCTGGATCCCAACAGCAGGCAGGAGGAGGGAGCCGTTGGGGAGGATACGAGCCACGCTATCCCAGGGACCTCCCTGGGGAGACAGGACCTTCCAAGCTTCTGTTCGGCCTGTGTTCTGGGGACAGAAGAGAGGGGCCTAAACAGTGCATGCCCTTTGGGAAAGGACTGATGAGGCAGGGAGGTGGGGATGGAAATCGTCACTGTTCTCTCCGGAAGTGGGAAGGTTGCAACAGGAGCCCCGCTTACCAGTTTCCATTCCAGCTGCTGGGGTGGTTTCTTGGGAGCCCCCTTACAGTTGAGCACCAGTGGCTTCCCGATCCGGGCTGTGATGTTTTGACTGCCGACTACTGCCCCTGGGAGACAGCACCACAGTAGAGGGGCAGGTAGAACATAGGGGCTAATAAAACTAGAACAGGGTGGGTGAGGGAGCTTGAAAAGCAGTGCCCGGGTTCCAGGAAAGTTCTGGGGAGATTTTGGGGGGTGGGGGGTGGAGTGCTTTCTGCAGGGAGCGTCAGTGTCGGCGGCAGTGGCTCACCCCACAGACTGAGCACCAGCACCCAGGCTCCGGCCGCTGCCCCTGCTGCCATCCTGCTTCCTGCCCAGGCTCCTGGCTCTGTCTGCCCCTCTCAGTGCTGTGGCCACCGCCCTAGGTTGGGCTTGCACCCTCTTTCCTGCCCCCTGCCCCCATCTCCCCATCCTCTCCCGTCACAGGGAATGCTAGGAATTCATGCTACTTGGACAAGAGTCCTTCAGGTACCAGGAGAAACAATTATCACCCCACCCCTGGGCACTGCCAGCCTCTGGGCACAGCCACATCCGTGGGGGTGGGGAGTACACCTTCTAGGGTCTCTTATCCCCTCAAGACCCCCATCCTATTCCATCAGTCCACAGAGGGCGGGCTGCCTGGTGGACCACTGGGGTGCCATTTTGGCTAGGCAAGATTGCTAAGCAACAGGGTTCAGGCCAGGCTGTTTCCGTGGAAAGGAGGCGAGGGTGAAACGTGGGGCCTGGGTGGTGAGGGCAAGGCTGGGGGACTTGGGAAAAACCCCGTTTGGGGATTTTTGAGAAAAATATTTTTTTTTTCTGGGGTTTCTCATGTTTTTGAAAATAATTCTCAACTAAACCCAGGGAAAAAAGAAATTTCTTTATTTAAAACTGCATTTTTTTTTCTGTGAAACTACAAGTTTACAAGTGAGGAGAGAACTGCCCCCAGCCCGTGCCTCCCGCCCCCCCCACCCATCACACTCCCAACCTGCCCCCCAATCCTGCCCGGATCTTTGACGGGAGGGGTTCCCCACTATGACAGTCTTGTAAAATCCTGAGGCTGTTTGAGGGGTTCAGATGGTAGGGCTCAGGGCCAAGGATGGGAGAGTGGTGATTTGACTTTCCCCATACCTGGCTTTTGCAACCTCCCTCCTCTCTCTCCCCACCCTCTTGATTTTGGACTGAGAAAACAAAGATACCTCATTTCTGGGGAAATTGAGGGAGATACATACACAAGCAACCCCAACCCATATTTAACATATTTGGCAATAACCCCATCCCCATTCTTCCCCCTCCAATCTGCAAACAGTAGGTAAAACAAAAAAGACTTAAAGACATGTCACACACAGGGGAAGGTGGCATTTCCTCAAAATTACTAAGTCCAGCCCTGCCCAAGGGTCGTGGGAAGAGGGAGGAAGGCCAGCAGAACAAGCCCGACTGCCTCCACACGAAACGCGGCAGAAAGCTGCCTGCACAAGCAAAGATCACCTGGTTTTACGAGCAAAGGAGAACACCTAAGTCATTTTAGGGGGGCAGGTTTTGTGCCCTGCTAAATGTACTTTCTGATGGATAGGACTGGAGCCAGGCAGGCCTCTTCACCAGTTCTATTTGTTCCCCTTTGTCTTATGATCCCTTGGGCTATCACCCCTAATAGGGGAAAGCAAGAAATCAAAAAAAAAAAAGTCAACATATTTATAAAAACATCTACTTCCCCCAAACTAAATTAAAAATTAAGAACCAACAACAACAACAAAACAAAAAATCAAAAAAATACAGATGGATCCCAGGGTTTCTTTTTCTTTCATTAAAAAAAAAAAAAGTTCAACCCCAAAGCCCAGTCAACAATTCCCTAAAGTAGCAGAAACTCCCTCCGAGGTAGATATCTGAGTCAGACACTCTCGTCCACCGAGCGATTCTATTGGTTTAAGATGAGCTGCGTATGAGGTAATAAAGCCGTCTGGAGGGGCAGGGGGTGGGGAGGCACAGGGGCGTGGCCCATGTCCTCTGTCCAGAAGTTGTGTCCCCATTTTTGGCATCTCTGGTCAGGCAGGGCTGGCGTCTCCACAGATCCCAGAGCAGATAAGTGGGGTGGGGGAGGGAGAGTGGGAGAGCCCAGAGAGAGAAAGAGAAACAGAATAGTTGTATGTGTGTGTATATGAGAGAGGGAGAGTGGGGGACAGAGAGAGGAGAAAGGGATCTGAAAGATAGGTGTGTGTGTTTCTGTGTAAGAAAAGGAGGGAGAAAAAAGACTGAAAGAAGGAAAAAAGGGGGAGACAGACCCCACTCTTCCTCTAGGGGACTCCATTCTCCCTGCTATGTAATCAGCACCCCCAGCACTGAGAGAGTCTGGTGGGGGAGGGACGACCCCATTTGCCCGTCTCTGTCTTGTGCTTCTCCTGTGTCTGGGGTTTGTCCTCTGGATGCCTGCGTCCTCTTCAAGAGTCGCCTTGTGAGCCCCATACCCCTGTAGCCCTGAGGGGCGAGATCAGTTGGAAGTGTCAGAGTGAACGCTCCCTGGTCCCTCTGTCGGGGATGTCACTGAGGATGGGGTCACAGCCTCCTGCCAGCCGCCGTTTGCCTGGGAAAGGAGAGAAACAGTTGGGGTAGGGCTCTGGGAAATCTAGTGTGGGGCACAACACTGCTAGGGAAAAGGCCCTTCTGTCCTGGTGAGATGTGGAGAGAGGGGGCTTCAGGTATCCACTCACCCTCATTTCCCGAGGGCTGTACATCTGGCCTCCCCCGAGGTTATCCCCGTAGCCCCCTGGCCCCATTGAGTGTCGGAGTGATTCCACCTGCAGGTGGCAAAGGAGAGCATGACACAGTGAGAAGGCTCAAAAGAAGAAAATTCCAAATCATGAAGGGAGGGAAATCGAGTTTGGGAATGCCCTACCCAAGGGGACATGGGCCACCTGACCTGGGAAGCAGAGTAGGAATCTCCATTGAGCCCGGGCATCCCCAGAAACATGTCTCCAGATCCTGAGAGATTGAAAGAGCCGCCAGAGCCTTGGGGGAGCAGAGAGGGAATGGGGGAAGAGTATAACAGAGCCTGCGATCGCAGACAGGAGACTCACCGCAGCTCTCAGTTTCCAAAAAGCCCTCTGAACTAGCTCTCAGGGGGTATGCCACTACCCACAAATTATCCACAAAACACTGCAACACTCAGAAAGAGCAGGCTGTTCCTGAGCCTCCCCTGGCCACTTGCTGGAAGAAAGGCAGAAGTAACTTTTTTGGAATGGCCTCTGTCCCCTGACATCCCCACCTCATCTCAGCTTGATCCCTCTCACCCCAAAAGGCCCCCTTTCTGCTATGATCCTGCTTAGATAGGAAGTGGGAACAAAAGCAGGAAGTGTGCAAAACAGCCAGCCAGGGTGGCAGTGGGATCCACCTGCGGAGGAAGGGGGTGTTGGGGAGCTGGTGCGGCTGTGGCCCCCCTGGGTGACTGACACGGCAGTTTTGACGGCATAGATGTTTGCCTCCTCTTGGAACTTTCCAATATTTTTCTTATAGCGAATCCGCTTGTTGCCAAACCAGTTGGAGACCTGTGAGGCATTGGGCAGAAAGGAGGGTCAGGTGGAAACCTTTCCCTCTGGAAGCCCCTCAGTCAATAGGATCCGAGAGCTTTACTGCCCGAAATTTCCTTCCCCAAGCCTCCCCAATACCTGAGAGACGGTGATTCCACACTTCTTGGCAAGCTCCTCCTTAGCCTCCTCACTAGGATATGGGTTACTCAGGTGAGAATAGAAATACTCATTTAGGACCTCAGTGGCTTGTTTGCTGAAGTTACGTCGTTTTCGTCTACAGAGGAGGAAGAAGGGTAGTGAGCACACTGGTGTTCTGGCAGGGCCTCCATGTTGCATAACTCCAGAGAGTGCCATGGTTATGGAATACTGTGTTGGGCAACATGGTGGCCTGGGGACTTGGAGAACACTGGGGGCCAGCCTGGGCCCCTGGGCCCCACCTGGCATCCAGGAAGCGGGAACGCAGGATCATGACCGCCTCGCAAGTGCTCTGCTTGAGCTGCATCTGGATGGCGCTGAACTTTCGATGGATGATGCTCACCATGCGTTCCATCTCCTTGGGTGCCACAGGCCGCGTGCGGCTCTGCTCCCTCAGCAGGTTCATGACGTGGGTCGTGAACTCATTACATGCCTGCAGTCGGGGCCAGTGGGCTGTGAGGAGGAGCCCTCTGGCTCTGGGATTCCCCACAAGAGCCCCTCCCTCCACCCACTCCAGCCTCCGCTCCTCACCTGCTCATACTTCTCCAGCTCTGAGTGGTAGATGTGGCGGATCTGGGCAAGTTTGCTGCGATAGTCTGAGTGTTCGATGGAGTTGTCAGGGGACACACCGCCCCCGGAGGCTGCAGCGGCTGCAGCTGCTGCTGCTGAGCCCCCCCCTTTCTCAGGCCCAGCCACACCCTCTGCCAGAAGCATGTTGTCCAAGCGCATCAGCTGTGGGTCCACCGGCTCTTCCTCTTGGGAGCTTCGAATGCTGAGGCCTAGTGTGCAGGCAAGTGGACTCAGGGACCCAGGGACCCCACACCCAGCTCTCAGCCCTGCTGGTGCCTCCTGGAGACCCAAGCTTCCAGGTTTTGGTTCCTTCTCCAATCCCCCTAGCAACCTTCCTAATCCCCACTTTCCTCAGGGCTCCAAGTTGTCAAGTCTTAGCTTAAATGCTATAGAGAACAGCATTCTATCCCCAGAGTTGAGGAATCAGAGGCGGACCCACATACCGGTTTTCTCCTTGATTTCACACAGGACGCTAAAGAGAGCAGGCTTCATTCGGTGGCAGTTTAGGGCATGTTTCCTTGGGAGGAACAGAGAGAAAAGTTGAGAAGCTACAGAAACAGAGTGGGAGTGCAGTGGGAGACCATGAGGGTGAGAGAGGGGAGCCTGGGAACAAGAAGGGAAACAAGAAAGCAGGACTGGGGGTGGAATGGAGCTGGGGGGGTTCTTAGGAAGACATCAGCTCATATAGGATGGAGATGTGGGGAAGCTGCTTGGCTTCAGGAAGATGGAGGGAAGGTGCAAGCAGCAGGCTAAGGACACCGTGGGTGGGCTGGGGGCTGTGGGGGATGGTCTAGAAGGGTTTAGAGGATGAATTTGGGGGTGACTGCAGAATTAAGGGTGACAAGGTAGATTTCAGAGGAAGAGAGATGGAGGCCTGGGAGAAGACTCAGAGTTTGAGGTGCCAGAGAGGAGTTAGGGGTGCTAAAGTGGGGAGTTCAGTATAGATGTGTATGGAGGGTCCTGGGACTGAGCAGGGCCAGAGGCTCTGATGCTCCTAGAGTCAGGCTGAGCAGGGGTGAAGGCTGGGTGAAGACCCTTGGAGGCTGGGCCATGGGTGGAGAAGGCTGGTAGGAGCTCTCGGGAGGGGTGTGGTGGTCCCCAGGTCTGGAGAGGAGTGGGGTGGGCTGGGTAGAGAGTTAGGGGAGAAGACAGCATAGCAGTTTCTTACTCTGGGAGCCAGAAGGGGGCTCTGGAGATGGAAGGATGTTCCAGAAGAGTATGGGGGTCAGTGAGAAGTTGGGGGGGGGGGTGAGACCACCTGGGGGTTCCCTCTGGAGGTTTCAGGGCCTGGGGGTGAAGGGAGGTTTGAGAGGGATCTCTCATCTCAGCGCTCCCAGGGATAAGGGGAAGAGAAGAGAGCTGTAGGATCCTGAAGTTGGGGGGTGGGGGCTCCCAGAAGATTCAGAGCTTGTGAATGGGGCTTCTGCTGGCTCTGTGTGGGGTCCCGGGATGGGGGCACTCACTTGGCCTGGGCCTCGTCCAGGCTCTGGTCGGTGATGGTCATTATCTGCTGCAGAATGTCCCCGATGTCTTGCTTCCCTCGGCCTCCCGGGACCCCCCCGCTACCCCCACCGGGGTCTCCGCCACCGGGAGGCTCGCCAGGCCCCCCAGGTTCCCCACCCACCAAGCCCAGGCCCCCCCGGCCCCCGCCTGGAGGGGGCGGCCCCAGTAGCCGCTCGTCCATAGTTGGGGGGGGGCCCTGAGGCCCCCTCCCTGCTCCGCCCCTCCCCCCGCCTGGTTACTTCCCCCCCTAAACTCGCTGGGGCCGCTGCTCCCTCCGCCCCAACCCCCGCCCGTCTACCCCGCTCCCAGCTCCCCCGGGGGTTCACCCCGGCCCGGATGGGAGACCTGGGGTACCGGCTGGGCCCCCCACAGGAGACCCCGGCCCCCGGCGGCGGAGAAAATGGAGCCGGAGAGAGAGGAGGCCCAAGCGGGGGTGTGTGTGAGAGCGAGCGAGGAGGGAGGAGGGAGAAGGGGGGGGAGCGAGGGAGGGAGGCTGGGGGAGGGGAGCCGGGGAGGAAGAGGAGGGGAGAAGAGAGGAGGAACGGGGAGGAGCTGGGGGCGGAGAGACACACAGAAACAGAGGAACTGAGACCGAGTGGAGGAGGGGAGAGGGAAGGGGGGACGAGGGGAGGAGACTAGCCCATGGGAGGAAAAAAGGGAAGGCCCCGGAGCTGGACTTCTGTGTTGGGGGCTGGGGTCTTGCCGCCTGGGTTCTGAATCAGGGATCTCGGGGATGTGGTCTCTGGCCGCTGGAATGCCTGGGTTCACAGACATCCCAGTTCATATTTCTTGTCCTAATGACTCCTCTCCCTGTTCTATTTAATTAAAACCGGGAGAGGGGGGTTGGGGGGGGATAATTAGGGAGGTCTCCAGCCGCTGCTTAATGAGCCAGTAATTAACCAGCCAGGGAGGGGAGCTGGCCTATGGCCAGACTGAGGAGAGAAGCGGCCTCTGGCCTCACCTTCCTACCCTCCACCCGGCAGCCCCAGACACCAGTCTTCAGTCCAGAGGGGAATTATATTTATTCGTACAGTCAAAACATCAGACAGACTCAGAGCAGCAGTGGGGAGGGTGGGCAGGGCTAAATGTCCATTCACAGCCTGTAGGCCCCTCAGTCTTGGGACTGCGGTTGCTGTGGTGGGGGTGAGAGAAGAGTCTTTATCTCTTTGCTGTGCCCACTCTCCCTTCTTTTCTTATTGGGAAGAAGGGTGGAACACTCACTCAGGTCACAACCTTGGGAGATATGCCTTTTCTTGGGAGATGGAGGTCTGAGCCCTCAGATCCTGTCTAGTGGCTTGACTACTGGGGGTGTCCCCACAGCTCAGGACCAAGACTCCCAGCCACTCCCTGCGATCAGAGGAGGGGTTGTAGTATCCCTTGGTGGCTGGGATCTTCTCACTGCCTCAAGCTCCCATGTACTGGGGAGGGAGTTAAATGACCATCCTACCTTGACTATTCCTAAGGTTTGAGGACTTACACCCCCTCCAATTCCCAGGGAAGGTAGATGAAGGCGATGAATATTGAGATTTCTGATGAGTCTTCCAGTCTCTAGTGGCCCTGCCAAGCAGGGTTGATGGCATGCAACGGGCTGCCCAGCTTTGAGCCCCAGGAGTGCAGAGGGGCTGGTGTGGGGCTCAAGTCTCAGCAGGTGTGTGTGGGGGGCCGGGACCTTTGCTCCTCCATTCGACCCCCACCCTGAACTCTCAGCAGCAACTCCAGGAGCTCCTGCCCCCCTGGAGGTAGGGGAGGCTCTGACCGCTGGGCTTCCATCCGCTGGCACTGGAGGAGTGGAGGGAGGAGAGGGTGTTGGTGAGGTTCTAAGAGGAGCAAGCCTTAAAAGGAGCCAGGGCTGGTGTGAGGGGCATGTAGGACACCTGTGATGGGAATGGGGGGACTAGGGCCTGGCGAGGGGGCAGTTGGGGAGCAGGAGTGGTAGGTCCCAAAAGAGAACAGGGGCTAAGAGACCAGGAAGCCTGGATCTTGCCTCCTGGGAGGGTGGCTTACCTGGTGACTGAGGATGGTGCTATAGAGCTGTTCTCTGTCCTCAAGAGGCCGAAGTGGGGCTGGAACTCGGCTTGGGGGGTTCTGGGGGGCGTGGAAGGTGGCCCTCTGCTCCTCTAGGCGGCGGGACTGGGCCTCAGCCACCAGGTCCAGGAGGCGCTCAGTCTGCAGGGAGAGCAGGGAGGCCGAGCGGGGTCCCAGGGCTGGGGAGAGGAGGGAGAGGGCTCAAAGACTCACAGAAATTGGCAGACAGGAGTGGTGGTGGTGGTGGTGGGGGCAAGGTAAGGTGATTAGGGACTAGGGGACAGAGCTGAGGGGGTACAATGGGGAGTCCGGAGGAGGTGGGGAGAGGGTCCATGATGGAGTAGGCTTTGGTAATGGGATCAGGAAGGATATGGGCACCAGGGTCAGGGAGCCACCTGGGTGGATGGAAGTACCTGTGTGGCGGGTCCCTGGAGGAGGAGGGGACGGAGGAGCAGATCGCCAAGGCCGAGTGTTGGTGTTCACAGGGGGCCAACCATGCTCATCCTGTTGGGGGCCCTGGTGTGGAGAGACATCCGGTCCAGTCAGATGGAGGTAGGGTGGGCAAGGGGCTAGGCTAGCAGCTCATTTCCTCTCTCTGTCTCTGTTCTTGCTTCAGTGTGTCCAAGCCCTTCCAAGTTGCCTGAGTCCACCGTCACTAGGTCCTAGGTCCTCTCACCTTCCTCTCTCCCAGTGTCAGCCTCCCCGACCTGGTGCCCGGCTCACCTGCTCACCATCCTCTTCTTCCTGGGGTCTCTCGGCCTCCATCCCCTGGAGGGGAGAAACCGATGGGGGAGGGGTAGCTGGGATTTGGGAGGAGGGCCGGAACCCTGGGTTCCTGAGGGGAATGGGGGCTGGAAGGGGTGGGGGTGAGCCGGGGGCTGGATGCCTGGGTACTGAACAGGAAGCTGGGTTCCTGGTCAGCCCCCCCACGGGCCCCGCCCATCCCTGTCAACTTCCTCCAGTTCTCTTTTCCCACCCAAGCTGCTCGCTCAATTTCTCTCACCCCAGGGAAGCACAGACTGGGAAAAGCTGCAGTCGTGGAGGGGGTTCATGGTGGGGAAGGACTCTTGGCTTCTCATCTCCAGAACCTCAGTGGTCCCCTAACCCCGGGCTCTGTTCCCTCCACCCCCCTCCTCCCCTTCAGCTCTTTCTGTCAACACAGGAACTAGCTACACAGGAAGTGGTTTCACTCCTCAGAACCCCCCTCCCCCTTCACCCCCCAGGTCCCTTCCCTAAGATGGAACCTGATGTAGGATTTGGCTCTCCCCTGCTTCCTAGTTTCCCTCAGACTTATTGAGACTGGAGGGGCCTGATTCCAGTGGGAAGCAGAGGACTCAGACCCAGGGATGTCGGACCCTCAAACATATACATAAACCCCTAGCACTGGGTCCAACACAAAGTAAGTATTCAATAAACATGTTGAGTAGTTATCCTTGCTCTCCGGGTGCTTATTGTCTATTCAGGGGACAAGATACCTACCAAATGTGAGAGACAAGGGGCAGGGGAAACTTTCCTCTGGTCATGAATGAGGGATACAGAAATGGAAAAGGGAGAGATCTACCTGCCTGGCTGGGTCTTTGATCAGTGCTGGTCAGGCTGGGTGGCACCAGGGTGGGAGCAGGATAGACATTTGCAACCTCTCAAAGGCAACCTGTCACGTTAGGTTTACAGCTGAGTGACTTGGCGCATGAAATGTGACGAAAAGATCTGCTTCTGCCACTTAATGTCTTGCAATCTTAGACAAATAAAATCTCTGTGCCTCAGTTTCTGAAAGTAAAAGGGAGCTTTAATAACATGTACCTTATAGGGTTGATGTGGGGATTAAATGTGATAAGGCATTTGGCACATAGTGAATGCTCAGTAAATGCTAGTTATTATTAGCTTTCAAAATGCCTCATGCCTCCACGTCTAAGGCCCATCACTATTAAAGAGGTGTAACCACATTGCTGAAAGGTGGATAAAATTTAAGATTCTCTATCTCCCTTTACTTAGGAGATTCCTAAGGCCTCAAGTTAAGTGGCCATAACTAAATGCCCTTGGAAGAGGGACAGAGGGTGTGCCTGGTCTAGTGTGTGTATGGTTTCTCCCTGGGCTACTAGAGACTGTTGGTTTCAGATGATACTCTAAATTAACATGTGACCCCCAAAGCTTCTTATTCTTGCTCTTAAACTATACTTAAAACCTCTATCCAAATGTTGAGCTTAGGGCACAAAATTCTGAAAACACTATGCATTCACTTCCCTATTTTTTCCCACACCTCTCTTGAACCCCTCCAAAAAAAAGTAACACTTCAAATCAGCTTTATTAGGGGGTGACAGATTTGGGTTTCTTAATTAGAGATAGCAGTGGGTAGAAGAGTGGCGCTTCATCCCTGCAGTGATTTGTTTGGGGTCCGAGGAGGTGGGGAGAATGCAAGGAGTCATCAGCTGGAGTGGCCCTTGGCCCTCCCTTCAGCACCTATGCAGTGCCTGGCACATAATGGGTGCTCAATAAATATTTGTCAGCCTTTTGTGGGTGGTGGGGGTGATGGGTGATAGAGGCTTCCTTTGGGAACCACATACAGGAAAGAACATCTTACATCCTATTTGTCTGCAGTTCTTGGTTACAGTTCAGGGGGTACTTCCCCCACTCCACCCTCTGTAGCCCCTCACCCTTATTTTCTGGGAGAGGAGCTGGGCTTACTTCATGCCAGAACCCTAAACCCTCTTTCCAGGGCTGCAGCTTCTCCACGTGGAAGATGATGCCGGTTCTGAGTGAGCATACACTCACTGTGGGAGAGAACTACACTCAACCACTTTTGGGGTTCAAGGATATTAAAATCTGGAGGCTTTCCAGACTGCCTGTCATTTAATAGGTACTCACTTTTAGAATCCCTCCCTGACATGTAGCCTTCTATTTTTGACCCTCGCCTCCCGCATTTAAAGGTACTACTCGGTGGGCAGGGGGACCCCAGGCAACTTGAGGGGATCCCCGCTCCGGGGAGGGAGTAAGGCAAGGAGGCGGGATCTGAGTGTTGGAGGCGGCGCCGCAGGCTCCCAGGGCCACCCAATCGCTGGGCCAGTTATCAGCTGAGGCCACATCCCCGCTGCCGGCCGCGAGCCCGGATCTTCCTCGCACTATTGCAGGGTTGGGCCGCGGTCCGCGCATGCCTGCAGAAAACCTACGGCCGCGGTGGGGCAGGCCTCCTACTGCTCCTCCTTTCGATGGGCTCCGGCAAGGAGAGTAGGCCCCGCCCCCATGCACGGCCAAGTCTACGGACAAAGTCCGGGCTTGCAGACATGCTCCGCCCCCACGGGGGCCTGCTCCGGCTGACAGCGTCCGGCAGCGCGGCAGAGCCCCGCCCCCACGCGGGGGCACGCTTCCCGACGCGGTGCGCGCGCGCGGTGGGGGGTCCGCCCCGCGGCCCGGCGTGGCTCTGTGACGCGCCTCCGGTGGCCCCGCCCCTTCTAGCAGCGTCAGCAGATCCCAGTGGTTGCGCTGGCGGGCGATGTCTTCGGGCCCTAGCCCAGCCTGGTCCCGCAGTCCTCGGTCTGCCCCCAGCCCCAGCAGCAACTGAGCTACTTCCACCGCCCCTTCTCGAGCCGCCAGGAACAGAGGCGTCTGCTCCTGTGTCGGAAGAAACAGCCAGGGGGCGAGGTCAGGGAAGGCCACGCCCACAGGACTGGCCCTTCAAAGGCCCCACCCACCTGACTGTTGGCCCCTCCCCCTTCGGGCTTTGCAGAGTTATGGTGCTTTCCGCTTCTCCCGCGCCCTTTTTATTTTGTGGGGAGCCCGCTACCCGGTCTAACCCTGCCGTCCTGGGCGTCTTTATCGGCTCCGGCCTGGAGAAGGCAGCGGGCGGCCCGGGCGTTGTTCACGGCCGCAGCCCAGTGCAGCGCGGTTTTTCCTGGGGGACGACGGGGAAGGTTGTTACGCTGAGGCTGCGGGGCAGATGCCTGGGTTCCTGTTTCCCACGGATTCTGGTCTTGGGGGAAGGGAACTCGGGCCCGCTGGGTCCCTCAAAGGCGGAAGCGTTGCCCAGGTGACCGCCGGCCGGAAGGAAGCGTTGCCCCTGGTGACGTCGTCAGCGGCGCGCGGGCGGGACAATGGGGCATTGTTCTGGGTCGGTGGGACCGGGAGACCACCTTCCCCCCACGAGACCCCTCCCCGTATCTCACAGACACTCCTCCCCCATCCTAGTTCCTAGTGGGCTGGCGCAGCGTGTGTGTGTTGCTGAGGATGATGTGGGAAGCCTTACCTGTTCCATACTGCCACCGCACCACAGATTTACCATCCTGGCAACAAGGTGGGAGGGAATCCCCCAGCCTCCAGTTGGTCCCTCTGCTGCTCCGTTACTTTGCTTATCTCACAACCCCTCTGCTCGACTTCTCTATAGCACATCATCAACCTCCCCAGATTCATACCCCACTTATCTCTGGCCCCCACATCTGCTTGGGCTGCAATCAGTTCTTCAACCAGGTCCTCCACTGCCAGTCTGGCAGCCAGCATCAGGGCTGTGGTCCCATCCTCTGTACGCGCGTCAACTGCAGTCTGTCTGCCGCGGAGTAGGAGCTGGGGGTCCAGAGAGGGCCAGTGACCCCTAGCATGACCTGGACTGCAAGCTCAGGTCCCTTACATTGTTAACCACTTCCCAGTCCGTATTCAGCCATCTGTTTTTGTTTCCCTTTCGGGTGTCCAAGCTCACATCACTTCCTCTTTGCCAAACCCTAGGGGATGCTTTGGCCCAGCTTCACTTGCAAGTTTGCCCCCTGTTCCCTTTAGCGACCCCAGTGCACACTGACCTGGCAGACCTCTCGAGCATCAGCAGCTACAGCAGTGTGAAGGGGGGTGCGCCCTGCTCGATCTGGCTGGTTGGGGTTGGCTCCAGCCTCAAGGAGGCGGCGGGCAGCGGTTGGCCGGGAGAATCGGGCAGCCAGGTGCAAGGGGGTCTCACCAGTGCCCACAGTGTGAGCCTGGGGACAAGCCCCTCCACCCAACAGAGGTTCCCAGGGCTCAGGGCTTCCCAACCATGGCCCTTGGAAGATCCTGGATTCTACTCCACCACAGCAGACTGCTGACATAAGGGGTGTCACCCCATCTGTGGGTGGGAGACATGAGGAATGGGAAACAAGTCAATCAAAAGGAAATAACTAGGGGAGGGGGAGAACACGGAGGCTCAGGGAAAATCATAGCCGGAGGTGTCAGGAAGTCCAGCTCTGGCTTTTCATTTTGTGTGGTTTTAGTCAAGTGAGTTCTACTTTTCTCTAGGCCTTGGTTTCCTCATCAATAAAAGGAGCCAGCAGGCCTTAATTCTCTAACATTCTAGGGCAGTGGTCCTCAAACTTGAGTCTGGATCAGCCTCACCTGGAGGGCTTGTTAAGACACGGATTCCCCAATATCTTGAACTTCTGAGTCGTTAGCTCTAGAGTGGAGCCTGAGAATTTGTATTTCTAACAATTTTGGTGGTGATGCTGATTTTTCTGTCCCAGAACCACCTTTTGAGAATCAGTGTTCTAAGGTACTAATTCTAACAGTTTCTCCAGTTCTGATATTAAAGAACTTTCTAATTCTAAAAGAGTCAAAGGGAGTTTTCATTTTCTTGGTCTGGGTTAGCTCACGTACCAGGTCCACGGGTGTCCACGTCAGGGACATCCATCTCAGATTCCTGAGGAGGAGTCAGCATGGCTGCCTGGGGGAGCTCCTGACAGTCAACGCTCAGAGGCCAGAGCTGGCACTTGGAGGGTGAGGCCATTTCTTCAGCCTTGGGGATCAGAACAAGAATCAGTGAAGAAAGGCTGCCTTGTCCCTTCAACCCCTCCATCACCTCAGGATCATTTCTGCCCCAGTGCTTTCACCTGGCCCACCTCCTCTTCTTCCTCGGGGACTGAGCACATCACAACTCCATCCTCACCAACTTCTGCCTCCAGTTTCAGTGCCCTGGAAGGGAGTGGGTGGGTAGAGGATCTTCAGGGTCCCAAAATTTCAAACAGCCTTCCTACCCCTCTCCCCTTCCTCTGTCTTCAACTTCTGCAATAACATCTTTTATGGCTTCTGATCATAAATATTTCCACAGGAAAGAATCCCCTCCCTGAGCCCCAGTTCCTCCCACTCTCACTTGAGGCCGATGCTGTCCTCGCCCAGGGGGGGCCGGCGCCGGT